TTGCTATTGTATAGTGTTTATGTAAATTATGTCTTATTAATAAACAGATAAATGTTAGCAGCTCTTGGATTCTTTTTCCACTTTAGAGAGATTTTAGATATGTAAAGATTCAGTAGAAATATATATTTTGTATTCTTCTTGTTGTACAAATTGCTATATAAAGAGGTAAAATTAACTCCTAAAAATTCTCCATAAATTATAAAGAAGAAGCAAAATAATTTCGAGATAAAAGTAACTTCTTTTAGAAATATTTATAAAATTAGAAAAAGTAAAAAGAATATGAGCATATAACCCGTAATATATAATAAATAAGTATAATACATATAATGTAGGTATATAACATATAAATAACTTATAGTATACATAGTATCAAAAAGTTATAGTATAAATAAAAATGTTAAAAATTTTTAAAAAATTCATTTCTTTTACGTGAAATCTTAATTATTGATTTAATGATTATGAAACAGCATAATCCTTTTTGTTATATACTGCTGAAATGTGTTCTTTGACAATTGAGAAACTTTTGGATTTTATTGTATCATACATAACCCGATGAACGATGTTTTTCTAATATTTATTAAAAACCGATATCCAATATATAGTAAAACAGTAAAATAGTTAATAATATATCCTTTTGCTTTACTATAGTAGGTAAATAGATCAACTTTTTCTTTTTAATATAAATAATAAATTTTCCTCATATTTTCTCACCAAGCAGGTGATATAATAGTTTTTCAATAGTAAGCAATTCAAATAGATGTAGTTAGATAACTTTGGAAACAGTTATATAACATAAATATCAATTATTCATGGTAATGAAATTCCAATAAAATGTTTAAAGCGTAGTTTATTATATTATGCACATCATGACAGAATGGATCAACAAAACTTTTTTACTTTGAACAATTTTACTGTAAAAAAACAAAATCTATTGGATTCTTGAAATTATTTAGTTTTTCATCAATATGTGTATTTGTTATTTTTTTGCATTATAGTACAGTAGTACAGTAGAATTCTCTATTGTTATTCTTCGAATATTTTGTTATTCGAATAAATTTTATATGTATGTCATCATTATTACAATTATGTTTCTCCCAGCTAATGTCACATTAAGATAACCAATCAACCAAGGCATAATTGAATTTTAAACGACCTGATCAAACGATCAATGATACTGTTGAAGAAGTGATACAACTTCACAAACAATTAAATTTAAAGGATTGCTGTTATATTGCGGCTTATGTCTGGATGTAAAATGTGTAACATCACAAAGAGCATGGAGAAAGTATAATAATATTGAAGGAAAAAGTCACAGATAATAATATACAAGAAATTTGTTCTGCATTACATGCAATATCAGAATGCTGTGATTTTGTAGCCATTTTATTACATCGGCGTTATCATACTATTATGATAACGCCGATGTAATAAAATGGCTACAAAATGATGAAATTTTTTTTCAATTGACCACGGTGTCAGTGTTGTGCATACTCTGAATAATGAAATACAATATGAATATAATGACAATGAACGTATCACAACATTTTGAAGCATTTGAAGCCCCGGAAAAAGAGCTGAAATAGTACAAGGTACAGAAAGATTAATTAAGATATTAAAAGATTAATTTTACCGAATTATAGTTGCTAAAAAAAAGTATGTGATTTAGCAGTTAAAAAAATTCTTAACTTTTAACTAAATAATACACATTTAATTTCATGATATATTAATAATTGTTATTATTAATATTTTTGTTCTTTTTTGAGATATGAAAATTAGTATCAAAAAGCAAATTCTATAGGTTCTATCGTACTTTGGTAACAAATATTGATTATGAGTAAAACACTGTAATTTAAATTATTCAATATATTATTGTATTTTACTCCATAAATTAACATCGTGATTAAATAATACCACAAGATTGAAAAATTTTCCTACAAAATTTTTCCATACGCGGAATTCATCAAATAGTTGTAATTTCTTTTGATTTCGTAAATATTCGAACGTAAGAATTAGATCGTATGCTGTTTTGTAATGTGAACAGTGATCAGTTCGCAAGTATAATAATAAAACGAGACATTTTTAACCTTGTTGACTATTCAGTTTTTTTTTTAAATTATATATTCATTTTATATTTATCGTTGTAATGGAAGGCAAAAGAATATCATAAATTATTCCTGTTTCATTATGTATTTTATTACTATTTTTAAATAAATATTAAAAATATATTCGAAAAATAATGCAGCTTGCATATGTATGATATAATAATATCTAGAAATTCTTTGAACAAGGAACACAGTTCAGCAAAATAAACAAATTGTACTTTTACTGTTATATAATCATCTGAACTATTATTAGATTTCATGTAAGAAAATGAATTTTAGAAAAAATTATAAATATTTTTATTTATAATCTCTTTTTATTTTATAAACAATACATGAATTTAATTAAAATTTTTGCTTCCAAACTTTTTTTTCCTATTTGTTACAGTTTGCAAATTGCAAAATAAAATAAAAAAATAGTCGAATATTTTCGTAAGCATATTCTTGACATTAAGTTTAAGACCAATGTCTTAATACTTTTTTATTTGGAATTTAATACTATTTCGATTTATGATGAAAAAAATATATAATCCAATTAAAAACAATAAAAATGATCTTAAAAATTTCGAAACTCACAAAAAATTGATATGCCATAGTTTGCCTTTTTTAAAACCATTTTTTGTATTAAACAATTTTTAATTAGACGCATAATTTAAACGTTATTTCAAGTGTGCAAGTTATGTGAATCACTTTGTACGTAACAAACCAATTCTAAACTAAATATATTCAAACACTATTTTCTTGAAAACGAGGCTTTAAGCTGAAAAATTTTATTCTACATTTTTCATTTACTTTGCTTTACTACAGACAAAATATCTGTCTAATCCAAAGTTAATAAAATTTAAGTATACTTGATAAATTTTCAAAGTTGATTTTTTAAAAAACAAAGCTTTAACTGAAAAAAATCATTTTCTTTTATATCACTATATTGGAAGCATTATATATATGTTCTACAAATCTCCACAGTTTCATAATCTTCTGAATTTTCAACTTGAAGATAAATAATTAAATAATTACGTAATTAAACTATAAATATTTATGTAAATTTCTATTTTTATGGAAATAATTAAAGAGGTAAGACTCATATAAAGATTATTTTATTCTTTATGTTATGATGATTACTTCATTTTAGATATTTATTTTTTATATTTTTGCCTATTGCCATTCTCATATTTTTAAATTTCCAATAAATGAATAAAAATCCTCAATATAAATATAATTTCTCTATCATACCATCTTTTATTACGTACATTTTTTATTAACTTTATTTGTCTTTATTTTTAGCTGTCGATTATAATAAAGCTTCATTCGTGTCACTGTTTCAGATAATCTAAAACAAACTATTACATAAATTCTAAAAAAAGATGTCCGATGTTAGGAATAAAATTTTATGTGAAATGATGATGTAAATGAAACATTAAACATACAGATAGTACTACACTGTACACACTTTTATGTTATTTTTAATGTTATTTATTTTTTAATTTAATAAACTATGTTTTATATACTATATTCATTAAATATTAGTACATATACATGCAATAAAAATATGAAACATTTTTAAACTTGTTTTTTCCAACAAGCACTAAGTGGTTTTTAAATAATCCAAGAGATGACACTGAGTATCCTGTTTCATCTGGCTCAATAACCAGTCGATAATAGTAGGTTCGAGCACCGATCAGGTCTTTAAACGTTGACGAAAACATGAAACAATGATGAAAAATAAATAGTGATATATAATACCAAACAGATTTTTTTTCCTTTATCCAAATTTTCCTCAATTGCAAATCCACTATCAAAATTTTTAACATATTATGATATATCACTTTAGCAACATGTTACTCCAAATTTAAAAAAAAAATGATATAAAATTTTTATATATGCGTAAATATAGGAATAAAATGTGTTTCTTGGAAAAGTAACAAGAATATATAAAATCATTGATTCTCATTGAGGTTACAAGATAAGAGCCTGATCAAACTTTAATTTGATTGATACCATCGTCGATAGATAATGAAACAGAAAAATAACGTTAAATCTGAATAAATCACGCGATGAAGGAATTATCAGTCAGTGGTCTTGCTTTTGCGAGCCATCGGGAATGTGATTCCAAAGGGATGTATGTATATCGTGCGCAGCTGTTACTTTAGGGTAAGAGGAGTCAGGAAAGCGGGGATCTCAGGAACGTATACAGACTCTTGCAATCCCTTTTACAAAAATTACGAAGAACACGAAATCATGTTCTACAAATCCTGCGTGATTTCTACGTATTCAATATATATTCAATATTAAGTTAAATTTAACAAGTATAAAGAATTTAACAATGATATAACAGAGAAAGGTTGAGATATTTTTTAAATTTTATTTCTCGTATCGCTACCAATTCTTTTCGTATTTCTTTTTTGTAAATAAAATCGTGCATTTTTTTATAAATTATAAGTCTGTCGTTAAAAATAATATTTTATACAGATGCCACTTTAAGATGTTCAAATATGTCGTTATTGATAATGAAATAATTTCTGTTTAATAATACCAATAACAATAACAATAATAAGCGTTCAATGTTCATTTACTTATATTTCGTCTATATTTACTTCATTTCGCATCGAACGAAAACAATCATTTAAAGTTACGAGTGTTTCAAAATCGCGAAATTTGAAGAGATAAATCCTGATAGCCAATCACGAATTGCTACGTAACCTACGTAAACTTTATTAAAAAAAATTTGTTGTTTTGATATCCGATCTTATCTGATTTCGATTCTCGAAATTACCGATTCCACCAATCACGTATCACGTACGCAGGCGAACCAATATTGTAAAGTCTCGCTCGACTTTCTCCGTACGTTTCCAATTTAACCTTTAATAAATATCGATAACACATTCGACCATTGTCAGCATGGATTTTTTATCAAACGTTGAAAACTTAAGGAAAAATTGAGAAACCCGCAGCACCCTGAAACACTCGTCCCTGACAACGTTCCACAATTGATGGTGGGGATAAAGAGGGGCTGGCTTGTACCGGCGGCGCCTGCAGTGACCGGCTGGTGTCTGTGAGCACCCGGGTGTCAAAAACGTGAATACGGAAACTCGTAAGATTTCAAGTGTTATTTCCCTTGAAGAGAGACGTCGCGATCGTTCAACGATTGGCGATCCGTTTGGTATTTGATACCACGAAAGAGTTATCGTCATATTTATTTCGATTTCAGTCGGTGGCACGCGACGTGTATCTTGAGATCCTTGCTCGACTCTTCTCTCTCGAGCTGTCTGTCTCTAGTAAGCTCAAGGGACAGGTCAGTGTTGTGGTGTGACAGCGATCGACTGGCTACGATACTGCTGCACGGGCAACCCTTGCGCTCTTTTTCTCCAAGGCTCACGCGGTTTTCCATGTCAACGACACGCGCGCTCCTGCCAAGGCCAGCGTGCTACGCCCCGCACAGAGTAGCCTCTGTTGTCTTCGTCGTCGTCTTCGTCGTCGTCATCGTTGCTATTACTACTGCTGCTGCTGCTGCTGCTGCTACCGCCGCCGCCGCCGCCGCTGCTGTCGCCGCCGCCGTCGTCAATCGACAGCTCCACGTAATCGCGTCCACCGTTGACTGTCTGCCGCTGTCTGCTGCGCTGCGTCGGTGGTCAGACCGACTGCCTTCATCGTTGTGGTCATCATCCCGGTGGTGGTTAGTTTGGGAAAAGGTCGGCGAACTAGCGAGTATCTGTACGCTTATTACCAGGGTGAAGAGAAGGAGACACTGCAGCGTCGCTCACGCAGGCCTGAGATGAGCGACCATGGCTGCATACACTTGAATAATTTCAAAGCAGCCAAGGGTATCCAGCCGTACAAAGTGATACACTCCTATTTTGTGACCAGCACGTCCACCGAGGCACGCGTAAGAAAGGTGTGACTATCTTTTTCTTGCGTGATCCGTGGTCAAGGTTTTCTCTCTTCTTTTCTCTTCCCTTTTCCCTCTCTGCCCCTCTGTCTCTCATTTTCCTACATTGTGATGTTTCCCAACAATTTCCCATTTTCCATCGCGTCGACGTTAAACTGTAGTTTGTTTGTTTCATACATGGTAAAAGAACGATGGAAATGTGAGAAATCGTTGAGAACTCTTGAAACGCGAAAAGTGAGTGCATTCTCTTTCTTTGTCGCTTACGATACTTGGTCGCAATCTGAAATCATGGTCTATGCAAATTGTAGACAGAGTGACAACTCAATTTGCAAATTCGCGCATATCGTTTGGTAAACTTCGAAAGTAGTATCTCCACGCATTTCCAGTACAAAGATGTCTGTTGGACAATTCTGATGTTTTATTACAATTTTTAATTGCCTTCTACTTCGAGTATATTAGTATGGACGATCAGTTTTCTGTCTGTTAACCGACGCATCAAACGCTTACTACTAATCTGTTTCACATTTCTTTTTATTTTTTCTTTATCTCCCTTTTTATCATTTTTTGTAACATATTTTTGTTACTCCGAAGCGAAATAATCAAATTCTTAAATTTTTAAGTTACTTTGAAGTAATTTTTGAAAAAACACTAAAAAGATTAAAAAATTATTCGTATAAAGGTGAACGAAGAAGAAACCGTAAAATTTTGTATTGTATTACTCTATGGATGATTTGTTTAAAACGGATTTAAAAATGGCCGCTGTATAGAATTACTCTGTCGGTATAAAGTTCCGGTAGATCGTTACTCGGGTAAAGTAACGGTATCGTAGATTTACGATTCTACCGGTACTTTTGGAACAATGAATATTTGCATCGGCGTGTAGCCCGATAATGTAATTGTATATGTTTTATTAAATAAATCTTGGCGTCGTAGTTTTTGTAGGAAAGAAATTTGTATGATAATATTTTTTTCCTGGAACAATATCTTTATCTAATCTGTATGAATGTTCTTTAGTAATATATAATTTTTCATCTTTTCTTTATGATGCAATAAGTAAATGATTTCTGTATTTTTAGGCCGTTAGTTGTTTATGTCACACATGTAAGACTTATAAAGACCGCCTACATTCTTGTCTTCATTGTATATTCTTTGGCTGCTATGTAAAAGGTCATATACAAGAACATGCAAAGACAAAAAAACATTTTTTAGGTAATACATAAATTGTATAAAGTACATAAAATAGAATAATTGTTTAAAAAACACTTTTATTATGTATATATGTTTTTTTTTTTTTTGTTGCAGCTGTTGATCTTTGTTATGGAAATATTTTGTGCTTCCAATGTGGAGATTATGTATATGATAGGGAGCTATTAGCAGTTGCTAAAACACAGTGGAGCGAATCTGCAAAATCATTGAGCTTTGGAGAGTTTTATCGATCATGGGAACCAACGCAGATAGAAGCAGAATTATTGAGAAAACATCCACGCAGAAGGCGTGTGGTCGAGAATTCTACGATAGGTAAACTATACAAATACACTACTTGAGTATGAAATATAATTTGCAATTGCAAATGGAAGTTCAATCTATATTAATTAGTACTTCACGTTTTTAGGTTTAAGAGGACTTATAAATCTTGGAAGTACATGTTTTATGAACTGCATAGTGCAGGCACTCATACACACTCCACTGTTAAGAGATTATTTTCTTGCTGACCGTCATCACTGCCCACAGCCGACACGCTGCCTGGTCTGTGAAGTATCCCATCTTTTTCAGGAATTTTACTCGGGTAGCAAAGCACCGCTGACGCTTCATAAGCTTCTCCATTTGATCTGGACACATGCTAGACATTTAGCAGGTTACGAACAGCAGGATGCCCATGAGTTCTTTATAGCTACACTAGATGTTTTACATAAGCATTGTGAAGCAGCACCCATCTTAGTAAAAGATAATCCACATCACTGTAACTGTATCATTGATCAAATCTTTACCGGTGGACTTCAAAGTGACGTGGTTTGTCAGGCATGCAAGTATGATCGAAATGTACAATATGATGTAATATGTCTTGTATCATTGAAGAATCCGTGTTGATGTAATAATTTTTTAGCGGAGTGTCTACTACAATAGATCCGTTCTGGGATATATCTTTGGATTTGGGTCCAGGGGCTAGTGCATCAGGTTCCGATAGTTCTGGTCCTCCTACCTCGTTATTAGATTGTTTGGAAAGATTCACGCGTGCCGAACATTTGGGATCTAGCGCAAAAATAAAGTGCAGCAATTGTCAGACGTATCAAGAGAGTACCAAGCAATTAACTATGAGACAACTCCCTATCGTGGCCAGCTTTCACTTAAAAAGATTCGAGCACTCTAGTATACAGCATAAAAAAATTTGTACGTTTATCTCGTTCCCAGAACAATTAGACATGACTCCATTTATGTCGCATAGACGGAACGGCAATAATAACAGTGCAATGATAGATGGACTGCCAAAGAATGGAGAAGACATGGCGTTTAGCGACAATAGATATTCTCTATTCGCGGTAATAAATCATGAAGGATCTTTGGAGACTGGACACTACACTGCCTTCATACGGCAGCAGAGAGATCAATGGTTTAAATGTGACGATCATTTGATTACAAGAGCGAGGTTAAAAGACGTCTTGACTAGCGAAGGGTGAGTTCATGGCATTGGTCACAGTGCCATTAGTACCATTACCAAGGATCCAGTGAAAAAAGCTTTCCTTTTCAGGTATCTCCTTTTTTATCATAAACAAATTTTGGAGTATGGTCGAAACACGAAGGTGTAAAATTTTAGATTATGTAACTAATTTATTTATCATGATGAATTACGAGAGATAGATTTAAGTTTCTTTTAGCATTTTAAGAAAAAGAAACTTGTTCCTTCTGGAAACTATTTCGAGTCTTTAATCCAGCTCGTATGAATTTGCCTGTCAAATTATGCGACGGGAGACGAGTAATAAATCGAAGGCCTCAAAAATGAAATTTCAAACTTTTATTCGAAGTGATTGATAGAAAGTGATTATGGACGGAGATATTTTCAATGAAATTAAAAAAAAAGAGGAAGAAAATTTTGACAAATGGCTATACTATTATGCTTTGATCATGCGATTAGAAAGAAAGAATAAACTAGAGTCAGATCAAGATTGAACGGACGTTTATTAGCATAAATATGTTTGTCATGATATTAATCTTTAATTAACTTTCAGAAATGTATGTAAAAGAATTATGTTCGTTCTATTATTTACTATTTTTTCTTTCTATCGTTGTGTTAATTATATTTGACGAAATCTAGGCTGGTGCATACGGTTTCTCTATTCGTAAACGATTTCTGTATTCGTGTCCTAAAGTAACATAAGTGTAATTTTAAGATTAGCTCAATTTTTTTAAATGACCGATCGCATTTTTGTATATCGCTGACTGTTATTATATTCCTGCCCTGACACTTGTATACATGAAATCACCAAGGATGGATCACACGATTCGAAAGTATTGTAATTAATAAGTTTGATTTTTAAGTATGATCAAATTAAGAAAGCATTTTATTTACACGATCCATCGTGTAAGTCATCCTTTGGTAATTCAATTTTGTACAAACGAAATAATACATATAGCAGAAAAAAAGAGGGATATGATATTATTCATATACAAGATGAATTATTTCGCTCGACTGTGTATAATAAAAGAAGAATCACTGTTTGACAAATTTCTTTCTGGTGTTGCCCGGTTTTTCCTCAGAAAAAGAAAAAAACTAAAAAAAAAGAACTATAGAATGATTCAAAACTTAAAAAAAATTTCGAACGAAAGAAAGATATTAAAAAGATTCGTGCGTAGTGCTTTCAATGATATGTTAATTTTCTGTACGGCAGCCCCTGCAAAAAGTGCCAAGTGTTCATTGCACTTGTAGTTTGTAATTCTGTGTGCTTATAGTTGTAGCAATTCCCTACTTTGTGATGGATTTCTATTATTGTGTTCATTGGTGAAAAAGTGTTTCGTAATATTTCCACAAACACACGTAACTAGAGTAATCATTAATGACAAAAATAATATCTAAGAGACAAGATCGTAAACAGATACTTGTATCGTGTCGACGTGAAGAACGATTCGCTTATATGTATGTATGTAATAAAAATATACGATTTTTTGTTGAATTGTTAAGACCATTGAAAAGGTTTCGATGTATAATTAAATACAGGAAGCAGTAAAATGCTTTTACTTTATTTAATAAACTGCGAGGGAAGTGTAAAATTTACATCGTTGTATGTAAAGTTACGTCATTGTGTGCGTCGTAATAACTGCACTCGGGTGCCCATTCTCATGAGCACGTATCATGACCAATAGTACTATACATTTGGAAGTTCGTATTACGCGTGCAGTTGTAACATTTTGTATAAGGCTGAAGTAAATGTATACAGAAATAAAGTTATATTTCGTCGAGAATCCATTTCGAAAAAAATCAATCCTCTCTTTCCCTGAGATTTATGTCCGTTGCCGCGTATTTGATTAAAAGTTAAACTTTGCTATCGCTTGTATCAAACACTGAACATAAAGATAAGTTTATCATCACGTATGATGCAATCCCATCACGATTGTATACAACTTCAAATATAATAAAATTTATATTTTCTGTTATGAAATTTTCATTGAATTACTGAATAGATTTCCGGGTGAACTTTCAGTCTAGATATGTATGTATATCGTAAAGATAATCAAAGTTCAAAATTTGAATCCTGAACCGCGCATTTCAGACCAAACAAATACGTAATATATACGTATGTATAAAGAGAACAAAAATATCGGTAAGACAATAATGAATAAAAAATTATAAATATTAAAATATCCTTGGCCTAAAATATCAATTAAAATTGAATACTGTATTTTCTTCAATTAGCGTGGTAGTAACGTAGGAAAGATGGACGCCCTGACGTTTGGCTCTCACAGGTAAACGGCCGATCGGTTCACATAAATTTTCGAAAAACTTTCAATTAAGTAAGTGTTGCCTCACGGAATTCTATTTTGTTTTTTGTAGGCTAGTTCATTTAGATCTCAAGGGTGCCCCGCCGCGAGTCTGTTATTTCGAAAAGGTCTGTTACCTGAATAAATAAATCGAGCAAATAATCGAATAATTATTGTTTACACTTGTCTCTTATCTCCGCTCTGATAACAGTGTCATTGAATGAAAGTTAACAATGACACTCAGCTTTTTTTTTTTCTATAGCTTTTCGAATATCACCGACACTCGATTTTTTTTCGTACAATCAATACTTTTTCGTTTGTGATAAACATCTGGATTCAAAATGAACTTGCATGCGCAACACGGCACAATTTTCATATATGTATACTGTCATATGTATATGTATATGTGTACGTAGTTATCACTGTGCACAATAATCACATTAATGTGATGCTTGCGTATCTTGATTTTTGTCAGAGTCAGTTAATGATGATCTGATTGTTAAAAATTGATAATTAATATTGCAGTTGTTCCCATTATTAAGAACATGGGGTGCAACTGGGCTCTTACTAGAGTGGGAAGACACATTCCCATACAATCGGGAGCTTTCTCACATAGGAAGCAATGGATTAAGCAGTCTAATCAGTGGATATACGGTACAAGAGGCTAGACACATTCTACAAATCGCAGGGGATTGTGGTTTAGCAGTTGTCCCATTAGTACAAACATTTGGTCACATGGAGGTATTTAAAATTAAAATGATATTGATTAAAACTATAGATATTTGGAGATTAATAACAAAGATGATTGCAGTTTGTTTTGAAACACGATGAATGGAGATCCTTGAGAGAAGTGGAGCACTTCCCAAGCTCAATTTGTCCGTCTAATCCAAGAACATTGTCTTTGGTAAAGAACTTGATTCGACAAATAGTTAATTTTCATCCAGATATACAATATTTGCACATTGGTGCAGACGAAGTTTGGCATTTAGGTCTTTGCTCAGTTTGTATAAAACGTGCTGCCTCTAGTAAATATGGAAAACCGTCTCTGTACCTGGAACACGTTTTGGCTATTGCACAATATGTACAAGAAACATATCCATACTTAAAGATTATCATATGGGATGATATGTTAAGATCGATAGATTTACAAGTTTTGAACGGTATCTTGATGATTTATTCATTTTGTTTCATGTCACATATTATTTCATAAAAGTACTCCCTGTAAATTTCAGATCATTACATTGGGAAGTATGTGGAACCTATGATTTGGCACTATAATCCTAGAGATAATTTTTCTCTACCTCATGGTAAGGTTTCTACCATTTAATTTTACGAATATTGGTATTTTATTATTGTACATAGTATTGTTTATTAGAACTTTGGGACAAGTATACTGCAATTTTTCCCCATATTTGGGCGGCTACTGCATTTAAAGGTGCTACTGGATCTTCTCAGCATGTACCAATTATAAGGCATCATATAAGCAATCATGAAAAGTGGTTAGAGGAATTAAGTATACATGTGAATAAAGTTCATGAATTTCGAGGAGCAGTATTCACTGGGTGGTCAAGGTAATTTTTTTTTCAAACTCATAATTCAAACAAATTCTATCGATTTTCCATTCTAGGTATGATCACTATGCAACATTCTGCGAATTATTACCTACTGCAATACCATCGTTGGCATTATGCTTAAAAGTCTGGCTTCATGGTTATTCTGAACAAATTCATAATCAAGTGGCTAAAAATTTAGGGTATATAGATCATCCTTTGCACATAACGCCACAGCCTAGACCTGCTCCAATTCCCAGCAACCTACTTTTCCCTGGATGGCAAGTTGCAGTGGGAGTAGAATGGTTTTTAAATTTCCGAACTAAATTTCATAATATTGTTTCTAGTGAACAGTAAGTATAAGTTGAACGTAAGTAAGAAACACAATTACGATATTTCGTTTTTCGTCTTTCATGTTTCGTATATTAACTTCAACAGAATATCCACGTGGATGAATCCATGGCAAATCGCAAATAATTATACAAATCCTATGCAGTTAGAAAATTTAGTACCCGCTTTTACGGAGTAAGTTGATTTATTTTCACAGCAATTGAGATAAAAATAGTACAACATTAAAAATATCTGTTATTTTTTTTTACAGACTTCTATTAGAATTATCTTCCTTAGAGGGATATTTAAGATTTCAAATGGAAAGTATTTTCTTTCCATCAATGATCGATGAATGGATAGGTACAAATATTCAGCCCATGAAAGGGAAACTTGTGGAATTAAAACAAACTACAGAGAATCAAATCAAAATAAACAGTCGAGTTTAATATTTTAAATAAGTATTTGCAGAATTTCTGCTTTAGATCTCAATGACCAACTTTAATACGAAACGATAGGCTGATGAAAAGTACGAAAATATTTAGTAAATTATAAAATTTTATCTCGTAAATAGGTATAGGAAAGTAAAAGTAGATATTTAAAAGTGATACTTCGTGCGATATGCACAGGATATAATTTTATAAGAGAAGGAACGATTATTTTAATACTTAGGAACGAATAAACTTGTGACAATGATTTTGTCACTGAGCTTTGTCATTTTGTGAGCTGTTCTGTGATACTTGGCTATGAAAGGATTATTGTAATGTAATTAAGCTCAATAACCATATTTCTTGGTCATTGTGCTTATCACATGTGCTTCTAACTATCTACGTTTCTTATTATATTCATAGTATGTGCAAATATTTTTTGTACTCGATTTAAAGATATCTCTTTGAAAATTTTTCAAAACATATATTTATCAACTGCAACTAAAGAGATTTTATGTAATACCTCTGATACATTTCATGAAATCTTTTTTATCACTAAATTTTTAACTAGTCTGATAGTTGTTTGGGTGATACTCATCAGTTATCTATTAAATACAGTAACAAATTGAACATAGATGAACTATAAATAAAACTAATAGTAATTAATAATGAAATTAAATAAGTGTTTATGTATATGCACGTAATAATTATGCAACATGTAATTTTGTTTTGTACGATCTAAATTACTTTTAAAATCTTAATTACGAAGAAGAGAAAGATATTTTATACGTTTATTATTACGTTTATTTTTCACCTTTTTCTACGATCCGTGGCCATTACGCCATCTGTATCTATAACCGAGTGAGAAAACAAAAACGGCGAGCAATTAAAAGGCAAAGATTTCTCAAATAATGCCTTCTCTTAGTTTATATCGTATATCTTTGGTTAAATAAGTGAAATAGTTTTAAATGTAAAAAAAAACATGCCAAAAATTAGAGAGTATAATGATGAAGCTATGAAATTGGACGAATGTTTTAAAGAAACCTTATCGTGTGTCAGACCTTTTGTTTTAGCATTAACATCTCCTGAAAGTGCACAATTGTGCAAAATTTGGCTTAATAAATTAAATGCCGTTTCTTCGCAACGTCGTCTAAGAAATGAATATCTCGCGGAATTATTTAGGCAATTAAAGACAGGACATATTGGAGGAGTTTTTAGTAGGCCTCCACCTAATGGATTTCTTCTACCATTACCTAAATCGTATCATATGGTACCTATACTAGAAATTATGAAATTTATTATAATTGAAACATAATTAACGTCTAATACAGGTCTGTATTAGCTCATCTGTAAGTAACTTATCAGACTACACTATGAAATCTCATCATAGTTGTGTAAAACCAAATGCAAAGTGTACTCAGCATCAACGACGTAAAACATTATTAAAACACCGTACGATGGACATTACGAGTATGAATAAATGTTTCCATGCTATGAATCTCTTCCCCACTATTAGTTATCATGATCAAAGTATAGTAAAATAAAAAAAAGTCGATTAAATGCTTATGAGCGGCGTATTGATACACTGAGTACCATTATTGCAGAATTACAGGCTCAAAATGAATATCTAAGGAATCAGTTGTCAGAATACCGAGAAAATTGTAACAGAAATCCGAATGATTACTTATCTTCAAGTATTAGTCAATTAACTACCGATGTCACTACTTTAAAAGCTAAGTTAGTATGCCATTAAATGTAATTTCGACGAAGCAACAGATTTTAAATATTTGTAAATTGTTAAAGGCTAAAAGAAATGGAACAGTTGAAAAATTCTATGGATGAAAGTTACAAAGAGACTGTACAAGAATATCATTTCACAGTAGTAGAACAATTCACTGAATTAAAACAACAGTTGGACGAGTCTCGATTGAAAAGCGAGGCTCTGGACCATAGTATAGTTCTAATGGCTAAAAAGTTGGAACAAATCAGCTATGGTAAGGTAAGAAATAGAATCTTTATTTGTAAAATGAGAATTATATGGCATATTTTGAAGGATGAGCAAAGTAAAATAATGGAACAACAATGGATAGATAAAATAAAGACGATATGTGAACGATTTGATTCGTTTACAAAAGAGAAGAATAAAGAATTACAACTAAAGCAGGATTTACTTGAAAAGAAGGACACAGAATTATCAAAAAAGGATGTAAGAAGAAGGGAAGAAATTGAATTACTAATTAATAAAATACACAATTTAGAAACGAAATTGGAAATGAAAATTAGAGATGTATTTCTTTGTAATATTTAAATATGTTTAAATTTAAATACACTACTGAATAGTACTGTATTTCTCTCAGGAAGATAAATTACAAAAAATAATAAACGAGCAATATACCGTAATGAGGGAAGAGTTAAATAAAATGAGAATTGAAATGGATAATGAAACTCAGAAACAAAATCAAAATTTAACGTCTCAAGTTTCTGTTTTGAAAAAGGCTATTGTAAAATTAGCAAAATCGAAAGAGAAACTCGAATACAATTATGAAAAGAAGTTGTCGCACATAATCAAGGTAAATCAATCGAAATATCATACCGTTAGTAATTAGTTCTATTTTATTTGTTATATCATAGAATAAAGATACGGAAATCAAATTCTTGCATTTACAACTGCAAAAACAAAAGAACGAATTGTACACATCTCTTAGTACAGAAAAGCAAAATGAAATGGATAATATAGCCTCTGCGTTAGAGAAGCGATACAAAGCGCTTTTGGCAGAAACAGAAGCAATGTCAGAAACTAAAACTCAGGAGTATCTCATGGTATCGCACGCCGTTTAATTTTATTTAAAAAGTAAAGTCTATAAATACATGTACGCAATAATATATTAATAGAAGTAAATATTTTAGAGAATAGCTATTCTTGAAGATCAGATACTTAATATGAAGAAATTTGAGTCGAGCTTATAAAATAGTAAATCTCGTGGTAGTTTATAGGTACAATTATATTATAATTATATTACTGTATATTATATATATGTTTATTCTTAATAAAGGGTACAAAACAATGTAAGTGTACGTTTTTAAATGCTTTCAATACTTCAATATTTATTATTTCTGTTAGTCAAGAGATGGCGCTAAAGCTTCATATTGCTATGGTAACTATTTGTAAACGAAGTTCCGAGTTGTCAAATGTGACAGTAAGCTTCATTCAGTCAAATTTTTTAACAGATATTATAATTTCTAACTATTATTTAATATTTATACATACTAAATTTCTCATACACGTACATATATATGATTAAAATATTTTCCATGAAAATAAATTTTAAAAAGAATTAATGAACATGTAGTTATAAATAGCTATTTAAACAGACGTTTTTATTTATAAGTTTAAAAGAGCTAATTTAGATACTGCTTGCAACATCGATACTAATAAAATAATAATAATATAACAATGTCACTCTATTTTGATACGCGTGTACAAAATCCAGAAACAGCTTCAATAAGCACTCATGCAATTTGGCATATCAATTATCCATTATTGGCTGTCGCAGCATATTCTCAGGATAAAGGTGGCTTCGTGACAATTTATGACGATCAAGGAGAGCCTACTCAAGATGTAGAGTCACCTAAACATTCAGTTGCTCAGGTGACTGCTCTTGGATGGCATCCAGAGAAGCGATGGCTTACAGCAGGATGGGAAAATGGGAAATTATGGGTCAGCAATCGTTTAAATTTAATAATAGCCCAGAATGATGAAAATTGGGATATATTATTATAGATTATCACATATAGGTATGGCCAGGTGATACTGGTAGTACAGAATTTAACTTGGTAGTCACACCACATCGTGATCCTATTACAATTCTGCAATGGAGTCAACATGGAGGAAGATTAATATCTGCGGATTCAGCTGGATCTATAGTTGGTTGGAAGATTGATTCAAGAGGGCAATTATTAATGATGTTTCATCATGAGCTAAAAGATTCTTTTGCACAAATAGTATTCAAAACTGTTCCGCCAAAATCAATGATGGACATAAGGTGAACACAAAAATCATGTCTTACATTTCTATTTATTACAAAATAGAACTTTCTTTTTCTCTTTCATTCGTACATTGATTTAAATCTCTTTCAGTGGCCTAGCAAAGGCTGCAGTAGCAGGAGATGAAAGGGCATTAGATATATTTAGCTCTTGGCGTCCTAGAACAGCTGTACCAACAACAGTCGTAACGCAGAGAGATAACCATGCCTTTTACATTGGAACCACTAGTGGTGTAATATACTTTGTTGATAACCAAGGACAGTGTACAGAAGTTCTGAACACAAATGGTGCAACGTTGCAGTTCCTGTTGCACCATCAAACTAGAGATTCTCTAGTTGTTATGACAGAGGGTTTAAATATAGGGCATTTTCAGACAGATCCTATTACTGGTCGGCTGACCGAATTAACAAAAGTGACTACATTTTTTTTTTCTCTTGTCATTTTGATACAGTCTAATATGCAAAATTTATGAAATTATTTTTTACTCAGGTGAAACTTAGCAGTAGATACGATATATTGCGAACTGGTCCAGCGATGTGTTGGATTGGAACAAATACTTTAGCGATTCTTACAGGGGAATTGGGTGTTCGTTGTTGGGATCTTCACACTGGCGACAGTTACGTGTTATCTCCGCCAGATTCATCTACTGGGAATATGGCTACACCACAGGAAATTTGCACAAGCATATCTTTTTGTAAAAATAACGGTACCGTAACCACTTTACTTGCAAGCATGACATGTATTACTCAGAGACAAAGTCACAGATTCTCCATAGATTTCATAGATATGCGTTGTTTAATTGATAATTTTAATATTGTAAATTAGGTATTTTGGCTGCTGGAACAAATTTGGGAACAATCTATGTATGGAAGCGTAAAATTGAAATGGACTGTGATGAAAACAGTTGGCCAAATGTGCCAGAATCTTGCAGCATTCATGGCACGGTAAAGCAACTTACATGGGGTGCGGCATTTTTAAGAAGTCCGCTACTTGCTGTAAATTGCATTACCAATGTTTTTATATTACATCAACAACCAATGTGTGCTACATATAATGATGGCGTTTGCGCTAGTCAACTGAGTCCCTGTCAAATCTTAATAGAATTCAGTGAGCAGAATTATACTTTAAAAACTGAGATTCAAGTGCAGCTCGTCGCCATCAATAAACATTACATCGCCGTTTCTTCTGGTAGACAAATTGTGGTATATAAAATTTACGACGATGCATCTTTGTACACTAGCCTAATTTCCAGTTTTAGCTGCGACACCGAGAAATTATTGATTTATGATCATACTTTGGTCGTTCTAACTTCTGTAGTTATACAATTACGGTCAATGGAGGGCACTGTCATTCAGATACTGCCTACGTTACCAGAAGAGGGTGAACCAATTACTATGGATCTTACTGGACAATATTTAACAGTCGCATCTTTGAACGGTATCTTAAAAATTTGGGATTTAAGCAAGCGAGAGGCGAAGTTGCATACCAGAGCAATGCCAGCTTACGAAGCGATAAGTGATTTTGCTGAAATTATCGAAGCACAGTGCAATGCTGATTGTCGTTGTGTATCTATTACTGTTGCAATGGCTAATTTGATGCCCAGTTCTATTTTGTACGTCTGGGACATAGAAAGCGATCAGATACATGAGTTTGATTTTGCAGAGTCTAACGATATAGACGATGACGATACTGCTTTGTCTGTAAAGTGTAGAGGCAGGCTGGTTACTGCTCATTGTTGGGACGTGGAAGATCCCAGATTATTAGTATGTCGAGCACAAAGATTGGAGTTACGGGATTCTAAGCACTCCTCGAAGCAAAATAATGAAAACGATTACGATATCTCAAGGAGCACTGTGGTTTTGATATCGATGTTTGCGACATCAGATCACGGAATTGTTGTGCAGGATATAAAACCAATTAAAGATGAAAATTGCAGAATTTTGGGCGTTCATTCCCCACATATTATTATTTTAAGCTCCGAAAAATCAATAGAGAAAGCTAGTAAAGTAATACAATTGTTCATGAGAGATTTTGAGGAATTGGGTGTATGCGATCCTATCACGAAGAAAGCAGTACTAGATTTTAGTTTTCACATCAGCATTGCTAACATGGAGGAGGCCTTCAAGTCAATTAAATCCATCAAAAATGAAGGTATTTGGAAAAGTTTGGCAAGAATGTGCGTGAAAACGAAGCAATTGAACATGGCGCTTTTGTGTTTGGGCCATATGAAACAAGCCAGAGCAGCGAGGGCTCTCAGGGAAGCTATGCAAGACGACAGTTTAAACTTGGAAGCCAAAGTAGGAACGTTAGCAGTCGAATTAGGATTATATAATGATGCTGAACGACTTTTTCGTGAAGCAAAAAGATTAGATTTACTGGGCAAGCTTCTTGAAGCGCGTAATAAGTTTAAAGAAGCTATAGAGCTGGCGAAGAATGAGAATAAAATTTGTGAGAAAACAAGTTATTACAACTATGCGAAGGCTCTCGAGCAAGAAGGGAAAATAGGTGAAGCAATAGAGATGTATACCAAAGCAGAATGCCACAGATTCGAAGTGCCAAGGATGTTACTTGTGAGGCCCAGGGAACTATTGACGTATCTTAATAATTCTGAGGATCCAGAAATAAAGAATTGGCATGCACAGTATATAGAATCGACTGGAGATATGGAAAGAGCATTGAAATTGTACGAACAAGCTAAGAACACTCTAGCGATAACGAGATTGCTTTGTTATTTTGGTAGAGAGGATGAAGTTAGCGAACTGGTGTCGAGAACAAATCATGCTGCTTCTGCGTACCATCTAGCTGCACACTATGAGTCAAAAAACAATGTAGGTCAAGCTATTCACTTTTATACCATTGCTAAGGCTTACACAAATGCAATTCGACTGTGCAAAGAACATGATATGTTTGAGGAACTATGGCCTTTGGCTGTATTAGCTCCAAGACAATCCCAGATAGACGTCGCCAAGTATTATGAAGAAAACGATCAGTCGGATAAAGCGGTTTTGTTGTATCATAAAGCTGGTCTACTACACAAGGCATTGGATATTGCTTTCAACACAAAACAATACAGTGCTTTACAATTGATCATCATGGATGTCAACGCAGATTCTGATCCTGCTTTAATAGAGAAATGCGCTGACTATTTCGTTCAAAATGATCAGATTGAAAAAGCAGTGGATCTACTTGCAACAGGCAGAAAATACTTGGAAGCTTTGGAATTGATACAAAGGCATAATATTCTGCTAAATGAAGATTTAGCTGAAAAGATGACGTTGGATAAAATTGACAACGATGTAGATCACGAAAAAATACGAATCTCTATATTAGAAAGAATAGGCGAAATAGCTTTTGAGCAAGGAAATTATCATTTAGCAACCAAAAAATTCACTCAAGCTGGTAACAAACTGAGAGCTATGAAAGCCTTGTTGAAATCTGGCGATACAGAAAAAATTTGCTTCTTTGCACAAGTTTCTAGACAGAGAGAAATTTATATCATGGCTGGGAATTATTTACAATCGTTGGATTGGCAAAACCAACCAGAAATATTGAAGAATATAATTAACTTTTATTCCAAGGGAAAAGCAATGGATCTGTTGGCCAATTTCTATGTTGCTTGTGCACAAGTTGAAATTGATGAATTTCAAAATTATGAGAAAGCTCTCGATGCTCTAAATCAAGCAAGTAGATGTTTGGCAAAAGTGACTACTCCAAGAGATCCTGATATTCATAGAAGAGCAGTGGATTTGGTGAATAATAGAATAGCAACGGTTAAGCGTTATCTTGATATCAAGAAGTATATCACTTTATTTTATATATATATATAATAGAAAAAATTAAAAAATATAGATATCTATGAAATATTATTAATTCGTGTTACAGGTTGTTTGACAGAGGTGAAACTAACGCAGCAATGCAACAAGTGCGTCAATTGCTTGATTCTCAAGGAGCAGATTTGGAACAATCAGTTCGCCGTGGTGATTTATTTGCAACCATTACTCAACATTATGTCAACATAGGGGATACTGACAAAGCACGTGCTAGTGTAGAAGAATTGAAGCGTTTAGTACCTGGAATTAATCTTGCTTATTATTATAATATGGACGTGTTAGAAACACTTGGTTACAAGATGAAAATACAACGACAAGAAAGTTCTGACAAAGAAGACGATATCGAAGAGCTTCTAGGCGAATAGTTAAATATAATATATGTACAATGAAAACGGAATCCGTCCAAAAGTGTGATGATAGATGCTAAGTATATTTGAAAGAATTAATTATTACAAAATATTTGTATATTATAATTTGAAAAATATAGTATAGGTTTTATCTAAAATGTGATGTTTCATCATTCTGTGATCATAACACATTTAGAAAAAATCATTATTTAACGTTTATTAGTCCAACTTATACATAAACAGCCTTAAGTTTTAATGTTTGAATACGTTCTGAAAAATAAGAGTTTAAAAATGATTATAATTTCAATAACATAAATAGCAAATTAATCGCTTCCAATTTCTTACTGGGTATAAAATAAATATACGAATTATAGAAATAGCAAAGAAAGAAATGAAATACATAGACATAGCTGTAATTGACAAAATAGATAGAATCAAATTAGGATATTCTGTCCATTCCTATTAAAACATCTCCGACGTGCAGAGTCTGTCCAGGAGTTTGGGATTGCCGATATTTACCCTATTTTGGTCCAATGCTAAAAATTACATTTTTTTTTATAAAGGTTTTTCTTTTGAATTTTCACTGCGCTAAATAAAACAAGGTACCAAGAACATCTCAAATGCACCAAACTCATTCAAACAGTTTTCTCTGGAGTTGGTTTCTTGCATGGTGACGCGACCTCTGTCTCTAGCTCGTCGGCTTTTCGTTTCTTACGCACCAAATGAGATATATCACTAGCAGGTTTTTGAACTTTAGGTGCAGAATCATTACTACCACTTGGTCCGGCACTGTTCGAACAACCACCAGTTACTTTGCTTTTGATACCCTCTATGACGAGTTTACAAGCCTCCTGTTTAAAGTCCTTCATATCCGAGATCTTCTCTTGAATTTCTGGCAACAACTCTTTCAATTCCTGAATCTCCCCCTCCACCGTATAAAAAGAATCATCCGTTTTAGGAGGCTCTTTCATCTCTTCCAATTCTTTGATACGCGCCTCCAGCAATTCCGTGGCTTTGTTAAACTCCTCAATACTGGCATCGAATTCGTTACCTAAAGAATGAGCCAATGCAAGCTGATAGTGAATCTCAGCTATTGCCCTTGGTTCTTGTGGCTCAATCTGTTGCAGAAGTTCCAGACATCGGTGTAGATCGTTCAGGGCACCCTGAAAGTTTCCTCCCTCCATAGCCACTTCTCCCAATAGTCGATAAGCATCAGCTAATAACTTCCAACCAGCTTGACCGCGCTTTAACAACACCAGTTTCGCTAGCTCTAGCACTTCCCAAGCGACCTTTAATTTAACAGTAATCTTTCTTAAATTTCTTGAATTCCAACAGAAGTTTTATAAAATATTATTCAGTGAAAATTTAACAGTTTCTTTTTCTGAAACCACATATGATATATGTATATATATATATATATATAAACAACAAAAAGAAAGATCAATTTTTTTACAAGATATGACAAAATACAATGATTTAATATGATCGTGTATCAAAAATAAAAGGAAGAAACAAAATTAAATAATTTCAATTACCTGTAAATTGTTGACCTCATCCTCTTCATCTTCCTTCTCTATGTCCTCACTATCATTTTCTCCATTTTCCTTCACAACTCCGTTCTGTTCAGTGGAACAAGAAGGCCCATTAGCGTGACTTGTGTCCTTACTGGTGCCAGCAGCAGGTTTTTCATCTTCTTCCGGTTTTTCTACCGTTTGCTTCGCCGTTTTACTATCTTCAGTCTTATTAGAGTCTGTTTTTTCTACTTCTTTTTTTTCACTGCTCGTTTCTACTGTTTCCTCTTCTTTCTTCTCGGCTTCCGATTCTTTCTTCTCGGCTTCCGATTCTTTCTTAGGTTCTCGTTCAGCTTCCAACTCTTCAACTTTCCCTTCGGTTTTCTCTTTTTCCTCGCTGGTTGCTCCATTGTCCGCGTGCTCTTCATTCTCCTCCTCCTCCTTCTCGTCTATGTTGCTCAATTTTTCGTCCTCGGCTTCTTCCTCGTCCTCCTCATCGTCTTCCTCGGTTTCTTCTGTGCCTGGTACTCCGCCACCCAACACTGCAGCCTCCTCTCTCGCCAAACCAAGAAGAGCACGGCCGTACAGCAAATAAGGTTCGCCAAGCTCGTCCGCGGTGTCCCCGTGTTTTTCAACAAGTAGCTGGCAAGCTTGCGCCAACGCAGTTACAGCCATGGTATAATCCCGAACTAGCAGATGCCGTTTCCCATGAGAGATTGCGGTCGCTGGGTCAGTGAAGGCTGCGCTTTCAGCAATGTCGGCCATCTGCAATGTGAAACGTAAAAAATATATATCTGTGTATAAATATAAATGTATATTTAAATTAGTAAATATAAATATAATAAATTATAATAAATAAATAATAAATATAATAAACATAAACTAATTATAATAAATAAATTTATAATAAACATAAATATAAATATACATTTAATATTTTTCGTTGAATTTTCACGATTGCTATTTTATGAACAGATTGAATATATTTCATATATTTTACAGAGTTGTTGTGCATTTGTGAAAAATGTAAATATGCGAAAATATATGAAACTCCCGAAGTGAAGTGTTCTTTTAATAATAACAATATTTATATCTTGTTATAACATTAATATTTTACAAATTTTCACTCAAGTGGTTGCACGCAAACTCGCAATACATTACAAAATTTAATTTCTTCACCGTTTGATTTGTATAGATAATCAAGATTTAGCTAAAAAGAAAGAGATTTAATTATTTGCTCACGAGAATATTATTCTCGCATATTCAAATTTTTCACGAGAATAATCCGGCACCAGTAATGCAATTAGAACGTGTACAGAATATTCCACCTACGTGCGATACGTGTCGTGTTTTCTACATAGACGAGATATCTACTGTCATACGTGATATATATTTCTCATTATCAACGTTGACTAAATAACTAAATGAATTTCGTAGAGTGTCGCGCGAATTCGATTTGATAATCCGACGTGAGTACAACTTGTAGCTGAGCGGCGCGTGAGCAATTCGAGCATGTTTCGAATAAGAGGGAGACATTAATATGTTGAGTATTGCACTATTAACGTTACTATCATTAAAACAATGGTAAGCAGCTCGTTAAGCGACAACCGTAGTTTCTTAATTCTTTTGCTAACAAATAAAGATCTGTGAAATGATGTAATGACTAGTTTAATGACTAGGCTATAAATTTTTATGGGAAATTGAAAGTTGCAAAAATGCACGCAATGCGTGTAATATGCAAAGATACATAGAATATTATAATATTATAATATATAATAAATAAAATAAATTTCTAGGTTTTATTTTTTTAGTTATGTTTATAAAATTTTTAAATTTCTACTTCCTTAGTTGTGTTTATAAAATTCACAGTCTGTCAATAACATATAAGTTGAAGATTTACTGACTTTGTAATAATAAATTTTTATATATTATATTACATATAATATAAAATTTTATCTAATATTATATTATATAATTATACCGTATAATAAAATATTATATAATATAAAATTTTTGTTAGATAGAATATAATATAAAAGCTTTTACAATTCATACTGAACTTTCCAAATTATATAATTTTACAAGAAAATCAGGTATCACGGTTACACATAGTGGTTCGTTGACACTGAAACTTCTGAAAAAAAAAAAAGAAAAAAAGAAATATCCAATATAACTGTATCACTATATCTTTAACAACAGTTTCAATGAAAAGATAGAGAAAGTATCCCAGAGAGAATATTATTTCAAGAATCACACACTTGTTAGAAGAAAGAGTTCTTCACACTCTCAATGGCAGTAAAAAAGACCGATGCGAAAGAACCATAATTATTTTACTTGGCCAAGAAAAAAAAGAAAAAAAAAAAAAACTCCTAGAAAGGGGACAGTAATAATTAATAAACAATAGAAGAAACAGAGAAGAAACGAGCGTGGAGAGAGGGAAAGGAGAAGAGAAGAAAGAAAGAAGAAAAATGGAATGATGGAAGGAAACGAGAGAAGAAGGGCGAGGAACAAGGGAGAGCATCGTCAGAGCGGGTTGTCCGCAGCATCCGGGTGGGGTGGTCGGTTGGGTGGCACGTCGGTCGATTTTCGTGCGCTTCGACGCAGAGCGGAGAGGGCGTGCTGATCGTTTGCCCCCTCGTAACGGAAGAGAGTCGCCGAAAACACCACGAGCTCCGGGGGTGTCGATTGGCCAGTGCGTAACTGGCGACTGTCGGTACGGTTGTGCGGCTTTTAGTGGGCTGCCAGCGGTCGCCCTGGGCACCACCTGCATGGATGGAGCCTACCCGTGTACCCAGGGCCCCTGGTCCACGTCTCGTTTTCCTCGTCGCGACGCTGGCCCTCACTTTCGCAGGTAAATCGACACGCGTAACGAGTAATCGTGGTTCGATTACTTTTCGTTCGTTGTGTTTCCATATTACGACCGTGTAAACGATCGTCGAAACCGGCTTTTCAATTGACAAAATCCATCTTACGTAATGAATAAACGGATAATAAGTTGGCTCCGGTCGTTTCCATCGTTGGCTTCTTGAACGCGTGTCGAACGTGTTTCTTCTGATATCCTGTACGTGCACTTATTTTTTTTTCTTTAATCGGTCAGCTGATCCGGAGAACTGTGTCTCTGGGACGTTGCGAGGATTCGACGATCGAGGATATGTTTGTAGGTCTCCCAGAAGTGTAAAACTGTACGTACGTGCGACCGAACGGAGAAATAAATTCAATAAATATTTTGATACCGGGACGGGTGTTAAGTGAAAAAGCACGTGGATAATGACGCCTTTGTTCTCGATTCAAAACGAAAACGACATTTCTGATCGTACTTGCAGTTCACGTACGTAATGTCTATTCTCGGCATTGGCAATTTTCATCACATGTCTGTGTGTGATCGTGGCATCTGGAAACAGCGAACAACACAATCTGACGAAACTATCTACAAAAGTATACGTTGCTTTACGTATATCGTTGCTTTACCAAATCATCGCCCTACCATGTGACTTTCTTCGATAAACACTACTCGATCATCCTGTTCAATCATCTTCCGACTGTTCGTATCTTCTTTTAATACTTCTTCTCATTTGCTTGAAAGCTTCAGTAGGATGCTCAACAACCACTGGTTGAACCGTGCATTTTTTTTCCTTTTTTTTTTTTTTTCATTGGAGGGCCATGGTCACTCGTACGTTCTAGTGTACTCGAGAACTCTTGCTAATACCGGCTTTCTCGTGCAATAAAATATTCCATAGCGTGTATAGTTGAACGACGCCTCTTCTCAAAGCTTCTCATTAAATACGAAGATTTCTGCCACCTATTTTAAAATCTTCTTATCTTCCTTAAATAGAAGAGAACTGTGGTCACAGTGAAAGCGTGTTTTAAACGTTAAAAACATTTAATTTAAGATGACTATTTAAACGTAGAGTGCGGATAAAACATAATTAAATAAAAGTGGAAATTTGTTTCATCGATTAAATATCATGAAATATTCTTTACTTTATAATTTATATATTATATATAATTGTACATTCTGCAAATTTTTGTACTTTTGAATTTCATGTAAATGCACAAAAATCTATTATTTCGATGTATCCATAGCTGTAACTATAGCTCGAGCCGTATCTAACAAGAAAATTACCCCGGCATTTCACCAGCATGGCAGTTTGCTTCTTCAAGGAATTAAATGACACGCAGACACTACTATATTTTCACGAAACAATCATCATCAGTGAGAATCATTCTCTATAATTGACGCTTCAGGTATTAATCAGTATACAAAATCTTTACTGAAATATTCCATTATAAAATAAATACAGTGAAACTCCGCTTGTAAAAACTTGTCGAGAGTTCTCAAATATTTTAATTGAAGTCCACGGATCCTTTCCTCTGCTAGTGATACTTTCTTCAGATAATAAAAGTTCAGATTTCAATAAATGGATTCGACTAGCAGGAATTCATTTAATTAGGTATTGACTACAATTTGGTACAAACAAATGGAATCCATATAAGCGCAGTTCTGACTGAAAAACGATTTTTAATCCTTCAGTCCACGCGTTAAGTCATGAATATGTATTATTCACGTATCAATTGTTTATTCTTCCGTGCACTCAAGGACTAACATTAAAAACTCTTGATAAAAAGTATTGAAAAAATATCTTGCAAGAGAATTCTCAAAGAACAAAGAAAGAAACAATAGATGCTTCAAAAGAATGCTTCAAGGATATTGCATAATTCTTCATCCATTAGTCTTTGTTTCAAGCACACGCACACGTTGCCAAATTGTCGAACACCGAGGTTTAACCTCTTGCGCTGGAATGACGAGAACTTTTTGTCCCAAAATTGCATTATTTTCTCAGTTTCAAGTATATTTAACTGAAACAAAATAGGCAAAATAAATAATGAATTTATTACTTCTCAATAATTTCTATCCAGTGATGTCATACCGACGAGTTCAAAATGAAAGCGACGAATTATTGTGTACGGTTTGGTCACTCGTTATGGTCCGCAATCAGTTGCCAGCGCAAGTGGTTAACCTCTTGTGCTGGAATGACGTGCCACGCACGTCGAAAATTTTTTGTCCCAAAATTTCAATATTTTCTCTAGTTTTAAGTATAACCTTGGCAAAACAAATAATAAATTTATTACTTTTTAGTCATTTCTATCCAATAATATTACCGATGAATTCAAAAAGAAGACAAATTATTGTATACGGTTTGGTCACTCGTTATGGTCCGCAATCAGTTGCTAGGGGTTAACCTCTTGCCACGCACGTCGAAAATTTTTTGTTCCAAAATAGCATTTTCTCTATTATAAATTATTTTCTCTAGTTTTAAGCATATTTAAGTATAACCCTGGCAAAACAAATAATAAATTTATTACTTCTCAATAATTTCTATCCAGTGATGTCATACCGACGAGTTGAAAAAGAAAGCGACGAATTATTATGTACGGTTTGGTTACTCGTTATGGTCCGCAATCAGTTGCTAGCGCAAGTAGTTGAAGTAACGTGAACATTCTGGCACAGAGAGATGTCGATATAGAGATACAAAGACTCGTTTCGTCTCTGTTCCAGCGACCGGATTATTGTGTGGTGCCATAATGTCAGATCACTGGGAGGAAGTTGGCTGGGACAAGGAAGCTCTGACCCACGCGAATGTTACACTTAAGTGGTACTTGGATGGACAGGTGGCGATGCTCGAGCCGACCTCCGACTACAAAAATCATCATTCTAACAGACGAGCCACCTTCCTCGTGCCTATGTACGGCGGCATTTGGATCATGTGCGTCTCGCTTACTGGTAAGTACTGGATCTGATGGCTCTTGACTGAATTTTTATTTTATTATCACGAACTAGTGGGAATTTTAAGAATTTTTTGGAAAAATTTGGAATAATGAAACAATTGGAAACATGTTCAAGAATGTTTTATAATATCATTAAACAAAATAGTTGTACGAAATTAATTTTCATAAAATTCGAAATAACATTTTCGATAATTCTTAATAACAAAGTTATAGGTAAGAGTTAAATTTATTTCTGATGGATAAATTACTTTGTTGCAGCATAGAAAATAGTTTAATTTCCCACAGATCTATTAGTCGAGAGGATTTTTAAATTTATTGTTAGTTTCTAAATAAGTTTCGTTTGTAATTCTTAAAATTCATGCTGATTAAAAATTATGTTTTTTACGTTTTTGAATGTGTATCTTTAAGTTTTCACTTCTTTTGCAAATCAAGGTTCAAATAAAATCCAAGAGATTAAAAAAAAAAAATCGTTATTTTTGAACATTCTGAGTCATCAAATTCAAAAATAGCATTCTGAAACCTTTATTCAATAATGTCGTGGAAAATCGATAGTCAATTTCCCATGATATAAATGCGCACACTTTCCATGTAATCTATCTACGATATGCGATATGATGTATCTATGATGATCCAGTTCCATACGAACTACAAACAGTGTTCTATATCTGAATAAAGTGGCACAATATAACGAAATCATAAATTATACTCTTAAAAATCGACACCGATTTATAATATAGCATCCAGCACCGTAAGCTTGGCAAACATAATTGTGAATTTTTTCTTTCATATATTATATGAAATTATACGATATACTTGTATATTCAATGAAAATGATTCTGTGCGTGCGTGCGTGCATCATATTTAAATTTTATTTTCATATTTTATATATTTATATGCTGAATGAAACCTACCTTCATAAGATCCTGACTACAATAAGTACTTATTTACTTATCTAATTATGTTTCTGTCAATTTGGTACCACAGCGATTGAAATATATCTATTTTGATCCATCTCGCATCATATAATGACCAACATTAGTACAAACTTATGAGATAGACACTATCGTGTATAAATATTTGGACACTTTTAAATTATTGCAATATAGAATACAATTCAAATGAATCTCTTTGATTTAATTTTAACATGTATAGTTAAGAGATATTGATAATATTATGTAATTAGCTAACTGAAGACTCTGCAGAGTTTTTATTGAAATATATTATAATAAATTTCCATATAAAAGAAGTTTATAAATTTTATGAAGCTATTTATTACAAATGAATACGAAACTTGAAAATAGAAAAACGTTTGTCAATTATACATGTCGAATTTGTCGAAACATAACAAAAATGTGAATCTTTTATTGAAACAGCACCAACGATGAGTGTCCAATTATTACAACAGTGTACATCATATGACGATGTCTTCACTAGTATGCATTTAAAATTAAACAATTTTTTTATTGATTAATGTTATATGATCTTTTATACATTATTAACAAATGTGGATTTATATTTTTTAAAATACAATTTAAAAATAAAATTTTCGTAGAAAATTATATTATGTATATTTTTATACATAATTTTAACACACGTGTTTATTTTGTAGTACACAAATATACTTTGTACAGTTTATACATTTCTTCATATTGTATGTATTTTCTGCAATTTTGCAAACTTCAACATTTTCAACAGTTCACAAAAAAATTCGTAATTCAATTATTCGATTTCTAATTATCGTAGTAGAATGTCGTACTACGTATTTAAATATGATTCTTCAGCCATAAAGTATTTAAATATAACAAGATTGGGTTAATGCCTGGCCAATAATACAACCTTGCCTCGTGACCCAGACTATACTACCTTGACTCTGACCAAGTTGGAATACCTTATCTGATTAAGAATACCCTCCCTGACTGTGCACATCTCAAACGTGCATCGCCAAAGTTCATGGTTGTCCATGGAAATTTCACCATACTGAATCTTCAACTTCAACAAGAAAAATGAAAATGTGATGGGCCTACATCTTTTTTCGATTCTCAATTTGTGGATATTATTTTCAATATAAGTAGATAATGGACACTACAAAGATAAAATAGTAAATATAGATGATTTATATTTAAAAAATTCTTTGAGAAAATAAGGATTCAAATTACTATAATTTAAAATCTTATTACATATAAATAAATGCATTTGTTGCTTTGCTATCGTTTTAATGGTGATATATGCTACAACTTTGATAATATAAAGCATTGGTTAATTTTAAATTAAAACATTGATTAAATAATGACACTGACTGAAGCTATTATTCAAGAATTACGTAGGCAATGTTTTATTTTTTTTAATGGAGATTAAATTAAGACTACTACATATTTAATTTTTTCAAATTTTTTTTGTAAATTTATCAATAAACAAAGATTAATTTATTAATTAAATTATAATATTAATCCATTAATGGATCATATATGTCTCAAAGAAAGTGTAAAGTATTTTTAAAGTACTGGGAAATAAATATTAAAATATTATTTAATGAAATTACATTCACCAAGATAACATGTTGCTTAACTGCATATGACCATGTAATTCAGTTTACTATGATTAATTCTTTTATTAACATCATTTTTGGGTTATAGACAGTTTTAAAGTAATGTTCTTTAAAATAATATAACATCTATTTCAGTTATATATTCAGATATATTAAAATTTTGAAAAATATGTTTATCAAAATACAATACGTGATATAATATAACTCTATCTTATTACATATAAATATACAGTGTCACTTTGATTATTTTTCCGGAATTTTTTAAAAGCAATATTTTTTTATTTCCATTTAATATGAGAATATCTAATATCTAATATGAGAAGGACCTAATATTTAATATGTTTTAAGATTAAGATGTAACATCTACAATGAATGGTATGCATCATAAATGCAATGTCAAAAATGATAAATAAAGAAAGAAAATGAAATAAATAAAATATGTGTGTTATTAAAAAATATTTGAAAATTTTTGTCGACAATTAAATATCACGTCAAGATTTACAGAAGAAGTAAATAATTGTAAACAATTTTAAGGATAATTCGAATTTAATTCTTTAACCTCTTCTTTTCTCCCAAGTTCTTATAATTTCTGAAGCGTTTGAAATTGTTCTAACAATTATCAATTACCATTTTTATTGTGATAAAAATAAAGCTTAGAAAATTTTCTACTTAAAAAAAAAGAAGAATTTTAGCAATGAGAAAACTTTCCAAAGAGGAAGAAATTTCAGTAGTAGAGTGACAATAAAAAGATATCAAGTCTGCATTTCAAACAAGAAACAATATAAAGACACGAAAAAAAAAAATTATAATAAAAAAAAAAATAACACAAGAATATCAAAAAGAAAAATTCAGGGAAGAAGAAACAACGTGAAACAATATAAAAAGTTGCAGCAAATAAAAACCTAGCAAAGAGATGTCAATGTTACAAAAAGAAAGCATGAAGAAATGAATATGATGAATAGATTTGTCAACTTGTTAGTATTTTTCCTGACTATTTGGTGATATATATATATATATATATATATATATTTACATTCTTTATTTTCTTTAGAAAATTCTAAAAAAAGAAAAAAAGTGGCAGCTTGATAAAATCCAAAGAAAATATTGTATTCACGGAAAAATTGAGTTATTTTCTTGAGGAGAATAATCAAAGTGTTCTAGAAAAAGTTAATCGTGGAAAAGTATAAAAGGATGTGACGTAGACAACAAGCCAAACAAAATACCATACAAACTCCAGCACGGCTATAAATTAAATTAAGCCAAATCTCTTTGTCTTTTGACTAAACGAAATTGTTTCATAAAAAAAAAAAAAAAAAAAGTAATCAACGAAAGTTTTACGAAGCGAAGAAAATGAAAAAACTTTAAATATGCGAAGTGCATTATCATGGAGTACAATTGCTCAAGATAAACATTTTGATCGATAACCGTTAGTATCGACTTGTTTTGCCTTCATTTCTCTCGGAAAGTACAGTCGTGAAACTATTATCGTTCTACAATATGATGAGATCATCCGCTTTAACGATGTAATCTTTTTAATGAGAAAGTATATAACGTCAGATAGTCAATATGTAAAAAAAATCTATCTAGAGTGGATTCATCTTGTAAAATATTATTCAATCATTCTCTCGCATATCTATATACTTCCTTATCTTTGATAAAAAAGATAACTGTTGTTTCTCCTACCTGTTCAGTTTATAAAATCATGTTTAACAACAATTTCATTATTAATTTATATATTAATTTTACTAATATTTATATATTAATTTATATATTAATTTTACTAATATTTATATATTAACTTATATTTTTTGCATGTTATAATAATGCAATTATTTTACTTTTCAATAAGCGACGTTGGATGAAAAATTCCACGAATTTTCTCCACCTTTCCTTTTCTTTTTTTGCCTCATTTTTCACTTTCTTTTTTCATATGACGTAGTACAGTGTGCAAACGTGGTTATGTATCGATTTTCACACAATATAGTATAGCACGAAAAATTGTAACGTGGTTGCAAATTGGTTTTCTTTATTTCTTGACATTTCATCTCCGACTCATTTCTTTGTATCTTTGTCCCCATTGACAAAGTTTAATTGAAAAGAAAGTCCAACATCGCAATTGAAATTTCCATGTTTTTCTATTACTGACGATCGTGTCTTTTTTCGGTCGCGTGGGTGGATCGTTACTGTTGATCGTAGATTTTGAACGTTTCATTGGGAAAAGGATGAAATTGTGACTATCATTTTGATCTTGCACCACAAATTGAAGCGTCATTTCGACTGTTTGTTAAATATTTGCATTCATAAATCGCCGGTTTTTTTTTTTTACACTTGAAGGTTTACCACGCGAGAAAGTTTATAATGTATAACTTACATTTTGAAAAATGTTGAAGTTCTACAAAAAAAATTAGTAGCGTTCGAGATGAGTTTTTTTTTTTTAATTGTTGAATGAACTTGACCTTCGAAGATGTGCGCCTGTGTGTAATTTTGTTCGTTCAGTTGCTTTTTTTGAGGGGGAGGGAGGAGGCTTTCTCTGATGGTTTCTGGTCACGCCAAGCACGGAAAGTTGCTTATCAAACGGTGCGCTGGTTCTGCTTTGTGCACAGGCTCATCATGAAAATCAATCTAATATTCTCGACCTGTATATCCTGAAATTATCTTGTACCGGTTATTTTGTAAACGCTGCTTTGGTAAATATATTTTAGAAATCTAACAGTATCCGCCTTGAAATTTTTTCATGAAAGATTTTATACGTTAAATTTTTTTTTTGTTGTTATTTATCTTGAAATTCTTTCAATGAAAATGGAATCGCGAGGCAAACCTAGACCCGGTGAACTTGGGTTGATCTATTTCTGCTTCAGGATTTATTATTACTCAATTCTCCAAGTTTCCATGACCTTCTACCTCCGTTCTCTTCCTGACATTTCACGGAAATTCACGTTCAGGTTCATCCTCTTCAACGAGCCAATAGTATTCAGAATCTGATATCGAATCTTACGCTTCAACTATTCGACGCTCCGAGACTTAATTCGTCTACTGATATCTACAGTATCGAGTTAATCGATTATACCGTATGTAAATCCGTATAAATCAGTCTTCTTCGTCCAACAGTACAAATTTTGCTATTTCTGATAGAATATTTAAGCTCACTGCGTGTACTTAACCTTTTGCGTTAGTAACTGATTCGCGGACCATAACGAGTGACCAAACCGTATACAATAATTTCGTACTCTTTTTTGAATTCATCGGCATATCACTGGATAGAAATTACTAAGAAGTAACAAATGTATTATTTGTTTTGCCTGGGTTATACTTCAATATACTTAAAACTAAGAAAATATTGCAATTTTGGGCCAAATATTCTCGACGCGCGTGGCAAGAGGTTAATTGGAGCGTTTAATTCTTCGACTCTATACTTTTTTTAATTGTCCCGATTTCATTTTCGTTACGTGTTATTTTCTCATTGTTGACTCGAGAAATCCGAAAGTTTCCAATCAAATGTCAAAAGAATGTAAAGAATTAATAAAGATTTTCATAATTCAAGGACTCGCAAGAACATCGAATAAAAAGTTTTTCAGTGCAATTTGCTGCGATTTGATATTTTACAAGAAATGCTAGATCGAAAGTTTCCAGATCCTTTCAAATTTTTTAGCACGCGAAAAGGAGCTTTTAAAGATCGTTTAATTAAAGATTGAGCCAAGCAAATGCAAGTGAAAACGAGCGGAATCTACTCCCGTTCATAATTTTGTTCCATATAGTGCAAGGAACAGCGTGAAAAACGACGTCATTTCTTTTTTTTTTTTTCGCTTCTTGTGTTTTAGAGGAGGAAATACGACTACTAGGTCAGGTAGGTTTTCCGCAAGGGAGATGCATTAACTACTTGACACCCGACGAAGCACATGAAGAGATCCGTGCCGCGTGGCAGAATCGTGAGTACAGCCGTTTTTCCTTTCTTCTCTCTGTTTTATTTTCTCGATTGTCATGCTGTGATTATTGTGTCGTTAAACTGATTTGCAGTGACTGGAAATTAAATTTCTTGAACGTTGAAATATTACAAGTTTTCAATTGATTTCATCTAAAAAAAAAGAAGAGAATTTCATCTGTAATTCTTCATTTTCTTTAAAAATTTCAATATCTATTAAATACAAATACAAAATAATTATTTTGTTAAATCGAATAAAATAATAGTATTTTTTAAGCAATAGAAATTCATATTTTTCAGTAGATATTGCCTAGTTAAATTGAACAGAATAATTTTAGTATTTCTTTACAAAAATTCATGTTTTTTCATAGGGATGCAGAACTTGAGTATATCTTGTTCTCTAGTTTGCTTGATCATCCTGGGCACTGCGGTTCTCATTGGATTTTTTGGACTTTGTCGACATCAAATATCAGCAGTCCTCGTCACTGGTGTGATGTATCTTTTAGCAGGTAAATTTGTACTTGTTGATTGTAAAGTTCTTGAAGCGACGCTGTTCATCGCATGAACGGAATAAATTTTATTGACGCGGAGCATTGCGGTTGCAGGAAACCGCAATGATTTCTGCACACTCGAGAAATCGACCACAAAATAAGTTGTTCTAAGAGAGAAGTTTTAAAGCTCTTCATTTTTTGATGATAAAATAAGAGTAGCAATTACGGGGACTGAAACTATAAAGCAACATTCACTAACATTCAATTTCATTCATAAAATTTCATTTTAATTGTAACCTCGTGAATAATAAAGGTCTTTCTTATTCAACGAAAGAGCTTCCCTCTTGGAGTACGATAAAGACAAACACTTCTCATCTCTGATAAGACGTCTCCAAACACTTGCGGATTCACTGCTCTCTTTTTTTTTTAAATGTTCCTTCGCTCTAATTAAATCTTTTGTAACCAATGTTCCTTTTCCAACAATTCGCAGCTGGTTTCGTCCGCAGTTTAAAAACAAAATAATAAAAATTTATTTAATTTTTGACCTATTTAAAATTTTTTCGAATCATAAAAAAAAAAAAAATATATATATATATAATATAAAATGTTTAATTATATATATAATGTTTATATATATATATATGTTTATAATATTATAATATATAATATAATTAATAAATTATAATATTATAATATAATGTTTATAATATTATATATATAATGTATAATTATATATATATATAAAATGTTTTATGTTAATATTCTTCTAATATGAAACAACTATTTTAGCCACGTTCGCATTGTTCACCCTGACGATAATTCATTTCAAGAGAGCTCAGGATCGCGGAGCTCGAATACTAGACGGCCCTGAGGATGGTGTAATTGGTGGGCCGGTTCCCCGTAATGTTCTCAAGGCCAGACGATTTACTAGCTCCTGGAGCATGGACTTTGGATGGGGTGGCGTTATGCTTTGCGCCCTCGCCTCAGTTGCGTGGATCTTGCTCAGCAAAATAATGCGTTTCAGCCCTATTGCCACTATGATAGCGTAGCAGTGGGAGGCCTTCGAGGTCTAAGGTCGTTTCCAAAAGTTATAACAGAGCGTTTCGATGTCGTCGCCTCTTGAAGCGCGGGGATGATTGCGTTCGACAAAATGGGAAACAGGTTACAGGAGTCAATTGTGTAGTTTCTGGTTTGCACCGATTGCAAAGCAGGACAGTTTGACAGGCAGCTTAATACCATGAACTATTTTGCAAGCTTCAGAATTTTCATCATGCGGAGTAATCAATATGTATCAAGTTGTCATTCGCAGTCTGTAAAGTGAGGAAGTTTTAACAGAATGGAAGTTTGACACGATGAAGGAGAAAAGCAGGATACACGACATTGAGGCAAATTTTAAGAGTACTTTTTTCAAAAAAACGATATCAGAGTTGAAAATGACCACCTCGAAGGCAGTTTGTTTTATCAACAGGTAATGTGTGTTGCATAGTGTTTGTTTTTATGGAACCTACATTAGATCAGTCTAAAGCATGGAAAGATATAAGAAGCCTAATTTTTGACAAATCTTCTAAATGCAACATTTTGTACAATTTACCTAATAATTTCTAGTCTTTGAAAAAAAACATACACTGTTGAGTGAAGAACTATATGTTGAAGAGGGATATACAAGTTTTAAAATAATATTATATAATACAATGGAATATAATATCTCTTTGTATATTATGTATATTTGAGTTTCAAGCTTTAATGTTTTGCACAGATTTATTGTTTTATCAAGATGATTCAACGATCCCTTTTTCATATAGATCTTTACTATAAAGTAAAATATTTACAGATGCATGAATAATGGAATAATGCCTAGGAGGAGAGTAAGCTTTCTGGACTGAAGAAATATTATTCAACGATAAATAGAATAAAATACACGTTTATCACCTTTATTTGCAGACAGATTAGTCAATTAATGTACAAGTAAAGGAAGACCTTACTCGTCCTAGTCTGTCTTTTTAGACATACTTCTTTTTATACAGTTGCAATAGATACAATTAAATTTATGTAAGAATTCATTTGGAGTAAGAATACTTTTGTGTGTTGTAGAAGCTGAGACAATATATGTTGATCTTTGCTTCAAAATTTCAATACAGAATGTAACTTAATAGATGCCTATAGTATAATTCAATCGCCTTATAATTAGAAAGATAAGCATGTTTGTAATATGCATAGTATAGCAGTAAACTTGTTCGAGCCAATAAAAGCAACTATATGCGTGTTTGCAAGAAGAATTTAGCTTTTGCTACGACTTGTTACAGCAACAAAAAAAAAAAAAGAGGAGTTATGCCAACAAAATGTATAACATACAAAGGATTGTGAATTGCAATTCGTCCATTAACATTTAAGAGAAAAATAAGGATGCTTCAATGAAGAGCATCTTCTATATACCCGGAGACTAAGTTTTGCCAGTTCAAATAAATAAAATGATTCAAAAAAGAAAAAAAAAGACGAATACGCTTGCAAAACTATTCTCCGAGTGTTTATTTAAACATAACGCATTTTTCTGATAATATTTTCTTGATTGTCATATTTTTTACCTGACCCTTGTTATTTGTTACATTGAAATGAATGTATCGTAAATGCAATAAAAGAATAAGCTATGTATAAATAAAGAATAACCTTGTTTTTCCAGTTTTATTATTTATAACCTCTATGATATTAAAACGAGAAATGACTTCGTGACGTGAAAGGTTATGTTTCACACAAATGATATTCGCAAATGGTCGAGACAAGCACGTAGCGTCAATTTACGTATATATAAACTACACGGGACACGTGATCAGATATTGTAAGTAAATGCAACGCAAGGGATGCTATGTACAACACCTACCCACATATACACGTCTATCCGTAAATTCAACAGATTATAATTTTATGTTGTAGTGAATAACGAAAGTAGTACAAGTGTGAGCTCATTGTACTAAGAATGTATATGTATAAAAATAAATCACGCACCGCGTTACGATATTGTTCGACAAAACTGTTTAATACTTAGCTTATTTTTCACGAACATGTGAAATATCTCATCTAATAATATGGTTATTTAGTATTCATTTGTATACAGAAGAAAATAAACGTGTGATTAATGCATGTAGAGCACAAAGAAAGTTACGTACCTTTATTTTTCGTTCGAATTACTGGAAAGTTTGATGCTTTTTTAACGACGGACACGCTTTCACTATGCTGTTTTCCGGTTGCACGCAACGTTCGGAATATCGCGAACTTTACTTAACAGTTGTAAGTAAATTTATGTACAGAGACGCAGGGATTTAACAGAACGACCGTTATGCCAGACAACGGTTTATTACCGGCACGCGTACAACTTGTACGAACGTCAAGCACAACATGAGCACAATGATTTGATCTGCACCAATGTGAACGGAACTTCCATCTACGCATGTGTATTCATTTTACCGCCATTTCTACATTTAGGCGGGAACCGTTGATTTAGTTAACGTAATATTTCGGCTTTAGTAAATTCACAGAATATACATACACGCATTTCAACTATATTTTTGTAATATAATTGTTCATTGTGAATAAAATGCTTCTTATATTGAATAATTAAAGATATTACTCGTTAATTCAGCTATTTCTAATGTATTCTAAAAAATATATTATCGAGACAAATCTAAATCGATATATGATATAAATTAAAATTTAAAAATTAATTTTTATACTTTTTTTTCACTGTTGTAAAAAATGGTGGATATTAATATTAAAAATCGGGGACGTATGTTTGATATTCTAAAAAATTTAAAAAAAATATATGTGTAATGTATATATATTGTACATCGATTTTACAATCGATTTGACTCCATATTTTTAACCTGCGCAATGGGAACTTTTCAAATTAATGCGCAGTTTCGTTAAATGGCGTCTCGCGTCGTTCTGCGAATTTTCAAAGAATTTTGTTTCAGAGATTTGCAAACTGTAATATACTTGAAAATATTTTGTTAACATACGATTTTAATCTAAAAAAAGACACAGGTAAAAATTATTTTTTTCATTAGAGAAAGTTCTATATTTTAAATATTTTACATATTCTTGTATTCTATATGCATCTGCGCATATTTTTCCATTTTGGAATTTCCTATAAATTCATAAAAATTCTATTTATCACATAGTTACTAAAAAGCGTGCAAATTATGATATTTTAATATAAAATACTGATTTATAATTTAATAATTATAATTTTCAATGGATGTTCAACAAATTAAATTATTTATAATTACCAACCGCTATTTTGAATAATATAACGAGAGTTCTGTAAACTAAAATATTCGTTGTTTTTCAGGTGCAAAGATGTGTGGTGAAATTGTGAATTCTTTGATTTCAATGATTGTCCTTCTTTATTGGTAAGTAATGTTTGACTTTATTATCAGATCAATTTTTACAAAATTACTATGAAATATTTAAATTATTTATGATTACCAATCGCTATTTTGAATAATACAACAAAAGTTCTGTAAACTAAAATATTTGTTGTTTTTCAGGTGCAAAGATGTGTGGTGAAATTGTGAATTCTTTGATTTCAATGATTGTTCTTCTTCATTGGTAAGTAATGTTTGACTTTATCAGATCAATTTTTACAAAATTACTGTGAAATATTTAAATTATTTATGATTATCAATCGCTATTTTGAATAATATAACAAGTTTTCTGTAAAATAAAATTTTTGTTATTTTTCAAGATTTCAATGATTGTCCTTCTGGTAAGTAATATTTGATTTTATTATCAGATAAATTTTTACAAAATTGCTGTGAAATATTTACTACAAATAATATAATATAAAGAAGTAAAGAATTGAAATTCATGTATATGCGAATTAGAGATAATTAATATTACTCATAAATTATTATAAGCATCATTTAAAAATTAATTATCCAGTTATATCCAATAATTGATTCTGTATAAAATTATCATTATCTTTAGTGGCATTTTTAATCGGCCTTAAACGAATTTCAGTAGAAATTTGTTTGTTAATGTTGTCATAGAATTCGATCGGTTTTTTATCAGATTTCAACTTTTCAATACCAATATGTAGTTCGTTATTAACATTATTCTGACACATTAACTTTTTATTACGCGTGGTAAATAACTTCTCTTTTGTTTTTTCTATAACAGAAAGTTTTTCATTGTGATAATTCTCCCAGCAGTGTTGGAATTTTATGAATACATTATTCCAAATGTAAAGTTGTTCGACTGAAATGCATTTATATTAAAATTTATTAAAAAAATCTAGAAAAGTATAATATCACAAAAAGTGAATATATATTCATATACCATATAGAAAGAAAGTTATAAGTATAAAAGTTGCAGTGGGGAGAGTAATGTTAGGTAGAAGTACATTGGCCAAGCTTAAAAGCGCTGGTCCTTCACACAGAGCAATTCCTTTCATGGTATTCACTAACCATGGTAAATATAGGTAGGGAATATCGTATCTATCAGCGATAGTTATCATCAGAGTAGTTATAAGTCCTGTGAGTATGTTCGTTACTAGTATTACAATTTTTAAATCTGCGAACAAAGTTTTATTTTATTTAGGAAATCTAATTTTTCAATCTCATAAATTTTCAAATTTTAAAATTTAACATTTCCGCTTTCAAATTTCAAATTTTATATTATTTTATATTTAAGCATATTTTTCTTGAAATTCAAGAGATTGAGAACTTAAAGAGATGAAAGATTTTCGATAGAATTATAGATTCTATAATATTTATTTTATCATTACTATAATTTCGTCGAAAAAGAGCATTAAATGCCGCAGATTTGGTCATTAGTTTCCCGTGAGGAAAATGGTTTTTGGCTTCGAAAGTGATACAACTTAAACAGTATATCACGAAACACATCAGTCCCATATAGAACGTTTTTATCTGTCATAAAATTTATATAATGTAATATTAACATTAATATTAATTTAATTATAGTCTTGTTAAATTTTTAATTTTTTATACTTTCGAGAAATTCTTTTTATCTTGATTCTTTCCATTCTTTTTGTTACTCTGTGTGCATGTGTAAATAACATCTTTTTCAAATTTCCATGGCATCGTAACTGGATTTTATTAATTTATTCATACATAATAAAGATTTGAGGTTATGAACGAACTGCTAGCCACGTGTTTTTCAAATTACATGTGTACATATGTATGTACGTATGAATCAATAAACAAACGAAATTGTGGCACAGCACAATAAGTAGGCTGCAATTTCAGTCATTATACGTCGTATAATTATTTTTTATATATTACATATAATAAAAAATATATTTTATATTATATATTATATATATCACATATAGTAAAATATAAGATTTATATTATATTGTGTACGTTTTTTAAGATTTTAATTGTGTACAAGACTTTAATTTACATGAATTTTCTTTGACATTAAAAATTCCTAAAAATTCAACGAGATTGCCGAGCTTGTCTGTGGAACAAACAAAACACTTGAAGCCAATTATGTATGGTCAGCGCAGATAATAAAATCTCGTCGCGTTTTATGTGAAGCCCATCTAAGAATACTTTTACGCAGAATACAGTGACCTCTACGATAATCACGCATAATTGCATTAAGAGCCATGGTGTATGCAACATCGGATATTCCTAGAAAACAAACATCGTTTTATTTTAATACGTTGAACTTAAGGGAAATTTTCACGAATTACTCACTGTGATTGCTCCCAGCATGATCAAAGTGTAGTGTTCTATTCCCAGGATCGACGTCATTAGCTTTAGATCCCTTTCCACGTCTGTAGGTACTAATAATAGAACGATTAATTGTTATCAAATTATTTATTCTGACGTTAATAAGAGAAGTGAATGATTTACCAGTTTCATTGTTTCTGGTTTGTGAGGGTGATCTGACTGGCAGCTTGCAGTTTATTATTCGAACGATATCAAATGCTGTAATCACCTACATCATTAATTATTTAGTGTGACAGTGTATTTGTTAGATCGATTTTCTTTCAAATACAGTACTGTGGAAACTAATTTCATAATGTTGTATAGGAACGATATTTCTTTCGTAGTTTATATGTTCTTTGGCAATATTTCGATAAAAAATTATAAATTAAATGCATGGAACTACTTGCATTATAAAATAAATTAGTATTTCATTAATAAATCTGAAAAAGGAAGAAATAATGTGGAAAATAATAAAAAAATGAGTTTATTAAAAAATGATTTACTAGTATGTTTGAAATAATTCTTTGAAAAATCTTTTAGAATAACAAAAATATTAATTATTTATGTAAAATATGAATTATTTCAAATTAATCGACAATTTCTTGACTGCAAAAAGTTATGATAATTCTTGAAGCAAGTAAGTTTTTAAAACTTAACGACAAATTGAAAATAATCAAGTGTGTTCTCTCTTATCTGTAAAAGCAAAATATTTATTTATTAATTGGCCTAAAATTTTTCTTTGAAATAAAGTTAGACTTAATATTTGATGAATCAAATTTAGAAGTTCACGAATTATCAACTTCGTTTGAATGGTACAGATTCACGAACTCTGGTGTTCTATTATGCAGAAACAATTAAGGAGTATTACGATCGACTAACGGTCCCAATGAGGCCAAGTATGATCACGTAGATAGAATGTCCCATGATAGAATGGTCGCACACGGTACACGCCAGTTGTCCAATCCGCTGGAAATTATTAATCAAATTATCTATCTTTCAACATCACCTGATGAAAATGACAAAAACTAAAGAATACTAACTAAGTGTCCACTACGATCATTAATCTTTCGCCTACATCGAAATCTCATGGTTATGCTTGTCAAAAAATTTTACCAAAATAAGTCCAAATTTAATAAAAATAGGTAGAGAAGAATCATTAGAATTTCTATTACGCTTTTCTAGAATTTTGCAAGTTTGGATAATCGATTTATTTTAATTTCGACAATTTATAATTATTTCAACGAAGTTTCACGAATCGACGATCTGGTCCAATCAGTTTTTGATCGATTTGCATAACGATGAATGCAACGTTAACGACGTTATGTACACGCACGCACATGTGTTCATATTCTCACCGTATTTTTGTTTCCAATCACTGCTCTCAGATTGGAAAATCCCGAACGTTTCCAACGACGTGCCATTTCTTAAGTTCTCTTATACTTTTCATAGCTGATATATAAATATATACTGAAGCATTTTCCTATAAGTGAAAAATAACTTCAAGCCAAAATTTTTCTGGAAGGTTATACACAGTTTATTACCATATAATTTTAAATCGTCCCTTTGTGAACAATTTGAATAACGTTATTTTAATAACTCTGTTATGTACTGCGTTTCACTTCAAGGAGTCTAGTAATTTTTTTGACTTTTGTCGAGGAAAAAGGAAAATTTTCATCATGAACGCGTATTTTCATAAAATCCAGTCGATACGCGACAAAGTGAGTTAATAAATTCTTCGAAATTATTTAATTAATTACGATTTCATGAAGTTACTTTTTTCATTCGTTTCGCGAAGAGTTACAAAGATTCCATTTTCCATGGCTTATTTTTACATAATTTCATATTTTAACCTATTATAGTAACAATAAAATACATAATTTCATATTTTAACCTATTATAGTAACAATAAAATAATAGTTTAAATATACAAAAATATCTTACAAATGTTTTACAAATTGCTATAATGTATTAAATTTTAGTGCAATTTTCAATTACGGAATAAATATTATATTTATTCTAAAGCTTTAAAATGGTAATGTAACGTATAATTTATATTTTTCGATTTATGATCATAAAAAATTATAATCACGAAACAATTCAGTGAAAAAAATGTTTAATTTGGGAAATACTTATGATACGTTTGGAAATTATTCGTGTTTCGGGTCCTCCTTACTAATTTCAATGATCACGAAATATGTTCTTAAGGTCATTATTCTCGATATACATGTTACTGCCGCATAGCTTTATTTTCTAAGATATTTATAAAAATGTAGTTTATATTTTTTAAACGGCAAACTTCAACGATTTCAATGATTTTTAGATATTTGAGATTACACTCACAGTTATTTTGGTCTTTCTCACTGATTTCAATAACTCTGAATTATATTGTCAGAAATATACTTTCTTCCCAAAATTACATAAATTAGAATTAAATCAGAAATTAACCTAATAATACGAATATTTGAACCTCTTTTTTAGACAATCAATCATGGATTTCTAGCGCGGAAATTTAAAGCGAATTATTCTTCTTTAAACGAGAGAGACATGAAGGGAACGAAACTTGATTGTGTCCAGAGTTCTGAAAATGAAATACTAAGAATTTTTCAAGCTTTATTATTGTCTACTTGTATGCTACTTGTAAATTATCATAGCGTTCGTTATGGTCAAATAGAGTATAGCATTTTGGACACTGGCGAGATTGCTGAAGGTTACACTCATAAAGCTGTGATCACTTTGAGCTTAGGTTATTCCATGCCGTATGCAATTATTTCTTTCTTGGCTATTGGCATGCTTATTTATTCTCTGATTTCGGTAAGAAAGTTTTATTAGTTTTGTTATTTACATAGAGTGTTAATTATAATAATTCATCATGTTAATTACAATAATAGAATATTATTCGTTATAAATATTAATTACAATAATAGAATATTATTCATTATAAATATTAATTATATAGTAATAATATTTAATTTCTAATAAAATTTTAATTTTTAACAATCGCTAAATATTATAGGAAATTCCTCGATGGAGTCTGCCATCGATAGTTCTCTATCTGGCTGATTTTGTTTGTGGTATCAGTGAGGCTATTGTTGCTATTTGGTTATTTGTTTCCCATTTTCCTATATCAACAGCTTTGTCTTATACGACAGGAACAATTTTACTAATATGTATATACATCTTAATTCTACAACATAATATGTGAAGTATTCCTGAAATCGTGGTACAATCAGTACAATCGATTAGACTGTAATTCTACACGTAAAAATACGTCTAAAAGTAACACGAGAAAATGACATTTTTTCATTTAAAAATTTTTGTAAAAGTTGAGTTTAAAAATTCATCAAGTATATTTGAATTTCACTAATTGGAGCTTGTATTTTGCACAAAATAAGTAAAAAATATCGAATGAAATTTTGTCATAAGACGCTTTATTTCTAAGAACATTCAATTTTGAAAATTTACCAAGTATATGAAATATGTATCCTGAATCAAATCTTAAATATGTTTATACTATATTTTCTTAAAAACGAGGTCTTAAATTGAAAAATTTCATTCCATGTCACTGACTGTTTGTCATTATGATGCAGTGTGTTTAAAGTTTGTGATGTTTCTGTCTGAACATCAATTAGTAAAATAAGGACTATGAAAGAGTAAAAAATAGAGGTACCCATTTAAAAAATTTTAATGTTCACCTTAACAGGACGTAAATTGATAAAATGATTATATGTTCTTCTTGATACTATGCAGCTTTTATTTGAAACAATTTTTTGTATTATTCGTATTTTTCTCGATATTTGAGCGTTTTTAATTGAACTACAATATACAGGATAGGTCACCACATATTGCCATCTAGATTTACGTCATTATTATTACATTATTATTACATGTAGCGAAAAATGTTTCAGATGGTTTCGAGAGGTGCACATTTTGATGATACTAGCTTTCCTGTAGGTGGACGTGTAGAGGATATATGAAGGTCATTAACGTTTTCTTAAATGGAACTATATATTTTTTATTGCATCAGTTGATGCACCTTGATATTCTTTACAAAAAAGTATTAACCTATTTATGTTAAAAAATCATTAGTTTAGGAGATATTTTAATTTTAATTTCGTAAAATTATCGTGAAAGACATGGAAGAAGAAGAATAGTAGAATTCTTATATTTATACTGTCGTTGTCTTTTACGCATAGATTTTACAAAATTAAAATTAAAATGTCTCCTAAACTAATGATTTTTTAACACAAGTAGGTTAATACTTTTTTTGTAAAGAATACCAAGGTGCATCAACTGATGCAATAAGAAATATGATTCCATTCAAAAAAAACGTTAATGATTTTCATATGTCCTCTACACGTCCACCTACAAGAAAACTAGTATCATCAAAATGTGCCCCTCAGGAAACCTTCGATTCAACTTCATCTGAAACATTTTTTGCTACGCGTAATAATAATAATAAATCTAGATGGCAATATATGGTGACCTACCCTATATATCAGTACAATAACTCTTGTCCGATCGAAAATTAGTCAAATTTTTAAACTCGACTTTTGCAAAAGCGAAACACTCTTTTTTAGAATTATTTTTTAGCCGGTTTAGAAACATGCTGTACATTTGATTATACGTACAGTAATTGTATGGAAAATTTTGTTGTCTAGTTGGAGAAATTTGGATGTGGCTCGGTGTTCTTCGACTGTACGAACAGAGAACTTTCAAATGAAGCGTAGCATCGTCATTAAAACGAAAATAAAAGGAAAGATTCAAGAAAAGAAGCGAATGTATCTTTTGTTTAAAATTATATTTTATAACTTATGTGTGTACAGTTTTCTAATAAAATATATCGGCCGTCATGCGATGTGCATCAGTATACTCGAGTAGACGATAGGGCAGTTTAAACCATCCGTCGGACACTTTGGTTTCGAGTTCAGGATCCGGATTTCCGGGCAATAATACAGTCTACAAGGAAATACAATTATTTATATATCAAGATATATCAAGGCTTTTATAATCTCATTTTAATTAATTTAATTTTACCTTGGACAATATGTTTCCAACGCTTCTTTCAACGTGTATTTCCCATTGTGTTTGTTTCTCGATATTTCTTGGACCACAAACCCCATGAAAGCTTGACATGGTACTCCTGTTACCTGAATGTCATTTTCTGGCTCAATAGTTGCTAGCTTGTCTGGCAAACACTCGTTTTCATTGCTACTGTAAGAACAGAACACAATTTTATACATTATCATTGCACTGCCAATGTTTATGCAAATTCATATTTTCAAGCCAAACAATCTAACGAATTTTACTTTATTTTGTATTTTGCATAAGGCATGTATGCAAATGAAATAATCGATTCGAAAAATAAAGGTAGTAAAGAAACATTAAATTTATGTTAAATATCAATAACATGCTTTGGATTTTATAAACTTTTCCATATTATGTATATTCTACATAATATATTTTTATAATTTCATAATTTTTCATGAATGTATAAATATTCGTTTAGTTATTATACACAGAAATGCGTGTAAGATGAGACAGTTTCTGTAATTTCGTTCTTACTTGCAAAGAAAACTTTTCACCGAGTCTAAATTGCAGAACATGTTCGGTTTGAGCGCGACACCAGGGACGCTCCAAAGTAATTGTGCTTTGGCTGCGATCTCCAGAACTTCGTCGTCCAATTGTTTCGCAACTTTCGATAATTTCGAGCTACAAAGAGATCATTGAAACGACGAGAATAATAGAAAAAGTTTGTAGTCGATCCTCACCCCTTGAAGAATTTATCGATCGACACATTGATGTTCCTTATGTTTCCATTTCCAAATACCAATCGTTGCCTGAGCCTATCCTCTGGACTCGATACCGAAGAATGATAGTTATTCGGATCGTTCAGTTTAGATTCTAATCTTGTTCTATTAATACTCGACTGATTCAAGCTTTTCCTGTTCGGCTCTTCTTTTATTAAGTTTATCAGATACACCTATGGTAGAAATTGTCGTGTTACTAACATTTTAGACTGAACAAACTCTAAAGTTCCAAAGATTTACTTCGAGATCTTACATTGAAGTCTGGATGTCTTCTGGCTGCAGTTTCTATGTAGCAGTAATCTGTCGTGGACCAATTTTGATTAGCCAATTTGAAAAAATACACATTGGACGATGTTCTGACCTCTAGGATCGAGATTTCTTCCATTCTAAAATATCGGATGATTTATAGAATAATTTTAGTTTCATGTGAATTGATTTTGATAAATTTTCGTGTCGTCTATGGAAATCATTGAGCAAGTGTTCTTGGTAGAAAGAATACACCAATGTTGCGAAGTAAAAGTTTCAAAAGATCTAAGGAAACAAATGAGATAACTCATAACTAGAACTTGTATAATGACTAACGTTACTAAATTATTAAATGGAAATTGCGGATGTATAATATAATTGAAAAAAATAAGATCTAAGTAGGAAATTATTTTATTTACTCGATATTATAAGATATATTGTACTTTAAATATTTTATATATTTTTTCATATTATTTTATGCGTCCTTGCGTTTTCAAATTTTTCATAAATACATAAAAATCCATAATTTTAGTAATCGTTATAATGTGGAAAATTGTAAGCTTTAAATATATAATATTTAATACATAAGGAAGTTTTAAGTGCCAATACATAAATGAGTGAGAAGCCAAAAACTGATCAACTCCACTGTGTAATGTTATAAGTATTATTTTTTTAAATTTACTTTGGAATATTTATTTAAAGTAGGATTTCGACTAATCAGTGCAATCTAAGGACATAAAAATAATTGTCTTTTTATATAAAATTTATTTATATATATTTATATTTTTTATATTTGTTGAGTTTATATATACAATTAATTTATATCTTCATTGAATTTATAATATATAAGCAACAAACAAACTAGTGGAAGTAATTTATTTATTTTTTAGTAATTTTGATATCTGGTTAAGAAAGTTAGAGATAATGTTGATCAGTTTGGTGTTTGAAAAATTTAAATAATATTCGCAACTCGAGATTTAAGATATTTCCATTTTAGGATTCTTCTTTTAAACTAATAAAAATGTCTAATATATAATATGTATAATATGAGTTAACTGCTAATTAGATTAATCTCTTAGCGAATCTTGTATAGATTGTCGTTTCTTTACATTTTATCGTCCTCTACACATTATGTCTTCGAATTTTTTCTTATTTTATCTTTTTGTCAAACTAGTGCTAATAAACATCTGATTACAGTGAAGAGTATAAACCATAACTGAACAGATTTCATACAAATTCTTTTGTTTCATACAAAACCATTGATATTAAGATATACAAAGAATGAACATAACAAGAACATTTTAGAGAATCAAAACCAATACGTACAATTTTTTAATATTATGAATGTTTTCTTTAGTTTTTCGTATATTGTAAAAAAAAAATTTATTCATTTAATTTCTCGCAATCGAATATTTCAACTTTAATAACTTACTAACATTTATTTTAATGTACAGTTTACACAAAATTTTTTCGGTGATTGGAATGAAATTTCCATCGTTCTTTAATTTTTTTCAACTAAAACAAGGACTGGAGAAAAGTGATATAATTACATACATTGTCTATTATCTATTAAACAAAATTTTACGAAAAAAAATTTTTCTTATTTTGTGGTGTTGAGACCAATATTAAAGAAATTGATCTGAAAAGTGGAGAGTCAAATTGTCGAAAGTGAATTTAACCAAATATCAATATAGATAGACATTTACAGTACGTATCATTTTATAATCTCAATAGAATTGAAATCCGGATATTGCGAATTAAATCAGAAGAGCAAATTTTTCTGAGTTAATTTTGCGCACTTTTTGCATTAAGCTTAGGATTACAATTATGTTCAAATATAACAGCTTCTTTACAAAATATTTTCGACTATAAAATATTTTTACACAAGTGTTATTGTATCGTCCATTTGATGTGATAGACCAATTTTACTGGTATCACTGAATTAACGAATATTTTTTGTTGAACTTTTGAAAAGTTGCATTATTTTTGCAATATGTATTTTTTTGTATACCTTAATCTTCTTGTTGGTATAGTTATGCTCCTCACTATAATAAACTATAAAATAAGTAAATTCTTTGTAACACAAACAAATATAGCGTAAATTCTCAGATATAAGACAAGAAAAAAATTTATGTTTGAAATTTATATGACCAGAGAGATTCTACTGACAATGAGCCTAAGCAGAAAAGAATTGAATAGCGTTCTCGAATAAGGAGCTGATTACTTTTGAAATTGAATTAATGGTATGATTCTATAGTCTCTGGAGATTCTTTTAGTACATATAAAATATTCTTTAGTACATAGCAAATATTCTGTCACAAATCCATGTAGAATAGAAAAATAGAACTTTAACATACACGTTTGAAATTTTTGGAAGTATAATTTCAAATCTTGTTATCTTGCAACATATCAAATATAGTAAATATAGTAAATATACGTAACAAATCAAGATTTATCATTAAATTCTTCGAAATCACTGTACAATTGAAATATTTTTGTAGAATATCATATAAATTTCCTACACAGGGAGAAAATTATGACTCAGTCAGTCTTTGTCAATGTGTCCATCTGATGCTTTTTATTATCTCGCTATATTCTTTCTATTAAGAAGCAATAATTTTGCTGAAATGAAGATTGTCTAGACACCTGTTACCGATAACAGTGGGCACACAAATAGTCACCGTAAGGAAGATCAAGAAAACCAGACTTCCTATGATTAGACAGGCTGTCAGGAATGCGAAAAACATGTCTGCTGGCCATTTTCGTAATTGATTTACTACACCTTTGATTATCGGCGTTTCACAAGGTGTCTCGACGAACCTGGTGAACTTGTCACCGTGATTGTCCGGGTAAAGAAGCGACACGTCCTCTCCAAACGGATCTATAATTGTCGAAACGAAATGGTATAAAATGCTGGAAGATTCATTCTGTTTTGATTGATCTTAAATTAATTCGAATAAGAGAAATAAAAGTTCGTTTGCAGATTACTAGTTTTATCAAGAATGTCTAAATACTTGATAAAGGAGGAAATTTCTACAAAATTCTTTTGTTTTCAACTTTTAACTGACATTATTGATTTTAACTCTTCACTAACTATTGAGCTGTGGAGCATCATAACATGTCAGAGTTGAATTATTTAATTTTGAAATTTTTAATTTAATTAAATTATTAATCGCTATCATGGACGAGAAATAACATGAAACAAGAAATAAAATCGAGACCTCTAAATTTTAGTGATTCACAATTTTTTTTTTTATTGGCGGTCATTGTTAAATTATAATCTGTTATTAAAATAACGATAATTTTAGCAAAAAGAAACAATAACATACATAATATCTCAAAATAAGAATCCATAAATCTCCTTTATTCTCTGATCTGAATAATTCAAATAATACAAATTTCTATAATCATGTAATAAGTATTACGAAGGTTAATATCTTATTAGTTCCAATTATTTTATGAAAATTGTTGATTTTCATGTCAACTATAATATATAATTCTACGAGTTTGAAAATTAAAGCAAGAATAAAATAAAAAAAAATAAAATAATAATAAAATAAAATAAAATAAAGATTAAAGTAAGAATAATAATATACAATAAAATTCATTTGCTTGTTATTTTCTATTTTTCTATTGTTTTCAATGTGAAATAAATCTCGGAGCACTCTTGCCAAAAATTATTACGAGGTAAATTCGACCAGTAAATTCGGTTTTTGCCGAAGTTTCAAAGATTGCAAGGAAATGGACAGAAATTTGAAGAAAGTTTTTTTTTTGGAACGGTTTCTCTCTGATCACTTACCCTTCGTGTTCGGCATAATGTCGATACTTTCACACTACTAATGTCGTTCTCGTCTCCGGCTGTTTATGCAGTTAGTTCTGCTCGCCAAGTCAGCATTTCGCAATAATTGACCGTATTTAAATTGAGTCACGACGATTTGCCAGACTACGGAGGTGGACTGTGTCACGCGGTTGGCATAATGTTCAAAGCGGAGCATCGAAAATGTGTTTCGGCCAGCGAAAGGTACGCGAAATGGAGATGCTCGCGTGGTGAAATCATGGACGAAGGTTATTCTGTGATGTTCGCTTGTTTCTCGATACATTCTTTTTCCTTTTCGTTTATTACTCTGGTGATGTGTTTGTAATGCTCGTTCATCCTCACTCTGACAGATTCGTGCTCAGTTATTGTACCATCATTCGTTAAGGGCTGGTGAGACATAGATTTTTGAAATAAATATGTAAATGAGAATAAATAGAAATAAATATTTTTATTTCCTCAAGAGAGTAACGCCGAGTTTAGTAAATAATATACTTCATTGAAATAGTATTTCAAATTTATATTTTAATAACTTATACAAATATTTTATTAACTCATACAAATACTATTGTGAAATGAGTATTTCATTGAAATATAATATATACAAGATAATATTTCAAATAATAATATTTCCATTCATTTTTATTTCAAATAATAGTGTTGTACATATAAGATAATAATAATAATAATAATAATTATATCAAATAATATATATATCAAATAATAATATTTCATTTTTATTTCAAATAATAGTGTTGTAAGTTTCGAAACTTTATACTGCAATAGATGTTTATCGAAGCATAAGACTTTTATTTTATTTATAAATAACTAAAAATTTTTACAGAAAGTAAATTTTTACATACTTCTCTACATACTTCTATTTGCTTTTCATACATATTAACTTTTAAATAATCTTTTATTCAGAAATACAACTTACAAGAATGCAACTTATTTATCTGTATGTACGCGAACGTGATCTTGAGAAAATATTGTGCAAAATTTGGAAAATTTGTTTCGTTTCGAAATTTTTATTTTCCATTCCCTATTTTTTTTACACTTAAGTATCAGAGTATAAATAGTATTTGTTCATGATTTAAGCATTAAATAATAATATTTCCACATAGTATTTACTTACTGAAATATTGCCATTCTTTTTCGTAAAATAAAACAAACTTGTGTTTCTGTTTTTTCAAAACGTCGTGTCACTGCTGCGGTGATTTGCTGCAAACCACTTCTCTGCATCGGATTTTAGACCAAACGAACGAATGCTCGTTTATTTACTTCGACCGAATTTGTGCTTATATTTATTTATGTTCATTAAACAAGTTGTTAGTATAATAAATGAGCATAAATTCGTATTTATAAAATACATTCGTTCTGTAAGAGATTTGGCAGATAGAATTTAGTAAATGAAAGATACTTTAATTTTATTTACTTTTGCTACAATTCTTTTATTGTAATGTTTATATGTGTTGTAATTATATTTTATTGTAAAGTTTGATACCTACCTTAGTTTTCTATTTCATTTGGAAATTCATATCAATTTCGGGCAAAAATTTACATGCTGTAAATATTTTAATGGACTTTTAACGAAAAGGAGTTTTCTAAGATACCAGAACTTCTCTTTTAAATTAATAAGTAGATTGTTTATTCTTATGCATTTATAGAAAATGCAGAATTGCAAAATTGCACAGATTCTAGAAATTTGTAATTATGTTCTTAAAAATACAACTTTGCATAAAAAAACGCTAATAACTTTTATGGAACATAATAATTTTAAACTTTTAATCGCTAATGTTTATTAAGATATACAAAAAGTAAGATAAATCTGAAGAAATGTTTAAAACTTTTAGCAACTCATTAAAATATGATTATTATTTCGTTTAGAATTTTGTGATGTAAAATATCTATATATAGCATGTAATAAAAATGTCATCAATTGTAAAAAAATATAAAAAATTCATATTTTATACAAATAATAATCTAATTGTAAAATAAAATCTTCCTTGTTTTGTCATAGATAAATTTTTTCTTATGCTTCTATACATTTCATAAATTATTCCGTATATAGTATCTTTTCTAAATTTTCTGAATTTAATTTATTTAAAGTTTTCTCAGTAAAGTTCAAATCAAAATATTCTGATATTTTATATTTATTGCACATATAATTATTAATGTATTTTAATTAATAATTATTAATCTATTTTTTGCATATTCTGTACATAAGTATTAGCGCACCCTCTTTTTCGAAAATATCTTAACACATACAATATTTTCATTATAAACTGCACTATTCTCTTTGATGGAAATAGATCCGTAATAAAAAAACTTGATGAATTGGACTTTAAAAATTTTCGATAATAAAACACGTTATAGTTTCCGAGTGCCACAATGCATTTTGGGAATTGTACAATAGCAACGCACAATTTCAAAAAGATAAAAAAATAACTTACTTTATCAAGTACTTTCCTACACGTTCAAAAAGATAAAAAGTTGGTTACTTTATCTAATCAATTAAATACTTTATCTAATCAAACAATTTTCTACGGCATGCTAAACTTAAAAACTTAAAAAACAATCAATAGAAATGATTTGAAAAAGTAAATATTTCTTCAGATATTACAAAATTAATTCCGAATCGATTAATTACAAATAATGGTTATTTCCTTGAATATTTCGTCAGTACTACTAGAGTATTGTACAGATATTGTATAATAAGTAATGAAATATTCAGAGAGGATGACATGTTACGATATATTAAATAAATATATTAAAAGATAAATATTCAAAGTCTTAATTTGTCAAATTCTTAATTTGGTATATGTTCCTCGTTCACTATTAAATTTTTAAACTTTTGATAATAACATCTAAAGGGTCAATGTATTGAACAAAATATTAAATACTTTTTCTGTTTGTAGTAAATAAAATAAATGTATTTTCTTAAGTTACAAGCGCCAATACTTGTTTGACTATATAATCTTCGTTTCTTTTTAAAAACTTTCTTATACTATTTTATTGTATAATTGAGTATTTTGAAAGAATATATAATATGCATGTTAAAAGGTACTAAAAGGTATTGCTATTTGATACTGATAGATCACTTTAATATATAAAGATATTTAAAAAAAGGGAGGTATGCCAATGCTTCTTTGTTATATATATTTGTATAATATATATATATATATATATATATATATATTATAATATATATATTTATAACATTATATATATATTTGTTTATAATTTTGGCCAATTAATTATTATTAACTAATTATAACGTTCTGTATGTTACCATTCTAATACTATTCTAATATTTGTGAATAGAGAGATATTTAGAAAAAGGGGAAAAAGCAAATTTACACGTACGTTTCAAATGATCTTTATTACAAATAACATTTTCACAATTTACGCTAGAAGTCACGATGGCAGGTATCCATGTCCCGGAAGAACATGCGGAGCTACCACTCAATCGAGGTTTTTCTGCGCATTCCGTCTAAATAATATCAAAATAAATCGATTTGGTTCCCCCGTGCGGATTGATTGAAACACTGAAAACAGCTACCGATTTCGTGCAAACTTATTCTCGCGATCGACAGTGATTTTTTTTTAACTGGAAACGTTTCTATGTACAGTAGAACTTTATTTATACGATATTATTATTGTCAGGGTACAAATAGTTTATATAAGAGAAGTCCATTAATTTTCTCCTGTGTTAGTGATCTTTCTTGTTCATGTAACAACAGTTCAGGAGTTCAACCAGCAAGAATTCGTGTAATCGAATGTTAATAAAAATTTAGTCCAAATAAATCAAAGTAAATCAATATAAACGGAGTTCTACTGTACAAACATCGAGCTATTTACAATACCCTGGAAGCAATAAATATCAACTCTCTTAGTACTCAATATGCGAATCTCGCCGCAAATACTGAATTTTCTACTGAAAAGCAGTATTTTAAACGTGTTTGACAATGCAAATTGTAGATTACGATGCAGAAAAAAGTTGTAAGGCGCTAAGAGGGTTGAAGCTAACTTATTTCGACAAGGCACTTCTTTTCTTCGCAATTTTTCTTCTATTTCTCTTTATATTATAGTTACAAGTATCGTACATAAAATTTATTGTTTCCGCTATTTGTTGTTGATACAGTTGTACAGACTGTCGCATTAATCCATTGAAGACTATTTATTTGCAATATTTTTTTTCTCTTTCTTTTTTTGAAAGAATACCACTATATAATATTGTGATTTATTTCTTTTCATTTTATATTCAATTTTACGTACCATACAATGTTTCCCCAATAATGATACAGAATTTTTAACCACTGTATCAATACTTGATCTTTAATGGATTAATTTACCGAGATTGACATAATACTGGTAAATCTATATGGTTTTGTTTGAACATTGATGCTTTGTCAGGCATGGACGTAACTGATGTATGGCTTCAGTCACAATATCTTAACTTAACATTTAGTACGTACTAAATTGCAAAAAATATTCTCTCGACGGTTTTCTAGATACTCTTGTTACGTCTAGTCGATTTTCATACCTAAATCTATTATCAAGTATGCCAACTTTAAATAACTTAACCTTAGCTTTTCGTTCTTTCCTTTTTAATTCTGATTACTCAAATTTCAGTACTTACAATATCTCAATTCTAAAGTTTTACATTCTAAAGTTAGACCAGCGTATGCTTCACTCGCGGAATGACATCGTGAATATTTTTTTTTTTTATTCGAGCCTTTGAACAAAGACAGTTATACTCACGTTTCATTTCTAGATGATTAATTTTACTAAATTGGACACAATTTGATTGGCTCTTTCAATTGTTACACGTGAAAGCTCGTGACCGACCTGCGGTTTGGAGTGATTTACAATCATTGTAAAATGGCGAATCAGAAAATAATTGTGCGCGTATCTTCTACTTAATTTGTACAACGTAAATTTTGCAGATACTTATAGCATAGTTTGAAAAATGACGAGTATAAATTTTTTACAAATTTTCATCTTACACTGTAATATCTGGATTTTCTCACAACAACCAATTACAATTTTATATTATAATTTCAGTAAAATTGTGGATGATTCGTAAATTTGCAAAATTTATTAGTTTCTTTCTAATTTTACTATCGCACATGTTACTTGTTACATGCGACTTGCAAGATTTCGTTAAAATAATATTAGCTTGACTATGCTAATATTATGGCTATAATATATCATTAATCTGGCTAATATTGGAAAGAATCTGAATATAAAGAATAAATAGTACAAAATATTCATTTTTACCCAGAAGAATTTTAAGAAGCGACGACTGCATACATTCTAAGATATGTATATTGATTTTGCCAATTATCTAACAGAACTATATATCAGAACAAAAATGTGAGGATTTTAAATGAACCTGTTTGTACCTTTTACTCACTATTTGTAACAATATCTTTTAGATTTTACACGTTTATCCTTTCTCAATATTTAAATTTTCATAATTTAAATTATGAAATAATTAATTTGGATATTTTCCAAAAGCCTAATTTTAACAAGAACAATTCAAAGGAGTCCCGTGACTTTTGCATAAAATTAATAAAAAGTAAATGTTCAAATCCTCACATTATCAGCTAGAGGGTTGACTAACAACTTCGATCTTGCTTTGGAAAATACGCGAAACTCGATCTTTCTGTTCAATTGCACTGGCACTTAGAAGAAAGGCACTCAGACGCTCGTGTACGAGACTGTCTGCTTCCCGGCGACATTCTTTTCACCAAATTTACGAGAACCATGCTCGCTAGCTAAATTCTTCGATGCCTCGCTGTCCAACGAGCTGTTATCACTGTTACGTCCTGACAAAGCTTCGTTCACATCTTGAAGCTGCGCGTTCTCGTAACTTCTTCTGTTCCTCGCGATCACAGATTCATTGGGAATTTTTAGATCCCTCCTGACGTACTCGGGGCTGGAATTGCACTGCGTTCCTTCGTAGAAGCCCGACTCTGGCGACAGATCCGATATCGGCAACAAGTTTGAGGAATTCGATGGAACCGGAGACTTTGAAGGGGAAGCGTACCCGTTCGATGATAAATTAGGATGCGACAGTGAGGTACTACCGTCTTTAGTCAACGTCTCCTGCGGCTGATGCGACTTCGACGATTTCTCCATTTCTATTATCAATCTGTCGTCATTGGAGTTCAGTCTTCCTCTGGTGTCTGCGTCTTGGATTTCTTTGGACCCTTTCACGCAAATAGCCTTCCTCGTTGTATTGAAACACTCCTTGCCCTCCGCGTGTCTTCTGTTAACGGCAAAATTGTCCCTGTAGCCGGTCTCCGTCCCATTCTTATTGTCCCAAGGGATCAGTATATATTTCCTAGACCCGTTCAAATTTCTTCTAGATCCATCCAGAGACCTTTTATCCTCCTCCAAGCCTCGAATGACGTTTCTGTGATAGAGGCTTCTCTTGGAACTGTTCAACGATCTTCTTTCCTCATCCACGAGCGAATGCTTCCAGTTTTTCCGGTTGGTTGACTTTAGCAACAACGGGCTCCCCTCTCGCGACGTTTCTGGCTCCTCGAAGATGATCTCGCGGCTGTTCTTCAGGATTTCTCTGTTCACCAGTTCTGGCAAATGCTGTAGCTCGACCTCGCCCATCACTTGGATCCCGTCCGGGTCCAAATCCAGAATCTTGCAGTGGCCGTGGTCACGATTGGCAATCGCTGGCCCGTGATAGGACGAGTCTCTGTAAGAATTTCGACAAGTGGTCGCCTCGTCGGCGCTTGTCTCACTTCTGCCGCTGTCCACGTACGTTAAATGGTGATTTGGATGGTGGTGATGATGATTTAGGTGAGAACGGTGACCACAGTGGCACTGGCTGTCCTGACAGGATTCCGTTAGGAAATCCTCGTCGATTATCATACCTGGAAAATAGCCTTCTACTTAGAGGATTCTAATTTTTTTCGCCTCCTCGACTGTGTGAACGAGAGGATTTTGTTTTTTTTAAGGATTTTATAAATCTCGATGGTCAATTGTACGTGTTACGATGTAATCTCCTTTCTCGAAGAATTATTTTCTTATTGTCTTAGGATTACCTTAACCTCTTGCGCTGGAATGACGTGAACTTTTTGCCCCAAATTGCAACACTTTCTCAGTTTTAAGTATATTTAAATGTAACCCAGGCGAAACAAATAATGAATAAGTTTATTACTTCTTAATAATTTTTATACAGTGATATCATAAGCGACGAATTGTTATATACGGTTCGGTCACTCGTTATGGTCCGCGAATCAGTTGCCAGCGCAATCGGTTAAGAGAGCCAACAAATACCAGTTTGCTTAACTCTTCGTAAACAAGCGTTTATTTCACGCTCTATAATTAAATTTAGTGGTTCGTAACTTTTTGATTATTCTAGACTTTGACGAAATGTAAAAGAATTCTGAGACACTTACGAATATTTTAAATATCTTTCGATAGAAAGAAAAAACTGGAAAAGGGAGATATTCGAGGAATTGAAATTTCGCTTGTTCCTTCGTAATTCAGTTTGCTTACGAAGAGTTAACCCTTTGCTGTCCAAGCATTCGACACTTTATCTCAATTAATTTATTCAACAAGTGAGATTCGAAGATGTTTATAATTTGGTATTCTCATATTTTCATATCATCATTATATCATTAAGTTAAATTACGATGAGAAAGAGCATGTTTCGTGGGTTAAGATTGAAAGTAACGTGAAATTCAATTTGATGTAGGATTGCAAAGGGTTGTTAAAGATGATTCAGTAGATATGTGGTATCAGCGATTGTTTTGTACTTGTATATGATAACCCTTTACCGAAGAACGTCTCGATCATATCGCGGAACAGTTTCCGACGGGAATTAGGACAATACGAAAGACAGACATAAGCGCAAGACGGACAGGCTAACAGCATTTATATCAGCAACAGAAAATTTATTGTGGAAACTTTAGTTCGTCTTAAATTACGGTAGTGCTTCGCTAAATGGGATCAATTATCGAGACATATCTAATTTCAGAAAGTCTTGAATACATGTTTTTTTTCTCTTTTGTTTATTCTATAAACAAAAACTCACGAGAGCATCATAGGTATCAATGAAATTCCAAAATATAAGTTCTATTCAGACACTTTTGCAAAACAAAGCTATACAAGGTGTTCAATAATAGACGGACCAATATTTATTTGGTATGAAGAATCCAAAATATCTCCACAGTTTAACCTCTTGTCGAGAATTTTTTGTCCCAAAATTGCAATATTTTCTCAGTTTTAAATACATTTAGGTATAACCTAGGCAAAACAAATAATAAATTTATTACTGTTCAATAATTTCTATTGTTCAAGAGGAAAGCGACGTATTACTGTATACGGTTTGGTCACTCGTTACGGTCCGCAAACCAGTTGTCAGCGCAAGTGTTTAACAAAAAATTCTCTACGCAAAGAAATATAAGATAACTGAAACGAATGTGACGATATCAATCAATGACATGAATCAATGATAAATATCATTAATTAACAAAGCCTTGAACGTGATTTTGTTAGTTTTTGTTTTTGTTTTATCTTGGTTTGTAGAAATATCTTACACGTTATTGAACACTTTGTTTAATAGCAACGGAAGTAAATTAGAAAAGTTCCAAAAACTATCAGGGGATATACATAGTGACGGAAGCCAAATTGATCGATAACTTATTCTCAAAAAATAAATAACTTACTTTTATAAATCTACCGAACAGAACTAAATAAGTAACAGCTACGTAGAAATCTGTTTTACCTTATAGAAATTACACCGAACACTCCATTTTGGATATTTTCGTTTATACGCTTAACTTAACGGAATTTTTTCATCTGTAAATTCATAATAAACGCATGAAAATTTACAGTCCGATCGCCACGTTTTTCACTAATTTACGGGGCTGATCAATCCAGCTTCTGAACCCAATTAACGAAGCAAAAATCGGGGCCAATTAAACGCGGTGCTACGGCACACACCGTCATCGCTTATCGTTACGTCCAAGATGACGAGAATCTGTCTCGGTATATCCTCCGTACGATATTATTTCCCTCTCTATTTCAGTCTGTTCGTTCTACATTTCCCTTTCGAAACGGGGACACGTTTCCCCGGGTCAGTGGACACGCTCAGACACCCGAGCTCTCGTCGATCCATGGAATGTCAATTTGATGTTTCGGTGATCCGTGGGAAGAGTGTCCTTGAGAGGCAAGGAACTCCGGGGCGTCTGCTTGGTCGCTGGTCAATATCACTGGCGCGGATTTCGGCTCGCTAGGAATTTTCCGTAGACCTCCATCTACGATATACACCAGCACCAACAGGGTCAGAGAGACATTGAACAAAACTCGTTCGCAGAGTTGTCGACACGTATTAAAGGCTTGTCGTGTTGGTAACATGCAAAGGCTTTGCAGCGTTGCTTCGAAGCTTAAAGCGCGAGGCTGTAAGAGGAGATAATGGAGGCAAGCACGAGGCAGGCAGCTGACTCGATATCGATTAGTTTGATTCGCGTGTACATCCCAATTAACGCACGTGGCCGGCCTTGTTTTATCATTAGCTGTTGTTTTGCAACGTGTTATTGGCCAACGCATCGCGGAAATTTTTAATTACACCGGACATTCCGCTCTAGAAAAAAAATTGAATGGCCTTAGTGTCGTTGACGTACGTCGTAATGAAACACGGGTGAGCTGTATGATTTTACATTGAGTTTCGCAGTGTCTGATTTTAATGTAATACGTGAGGTACGATATGGAGCTGGGAAGAAGTATCGTGGGATGATTAACTATTTTGTAGGTATTCTGTTGGTCTCGCAAAATGAAAATATCTCGTTAGAGATTGAAGTTATAGAAAAAAAAGAAAAATATTCTTGTAAAAGTTGTTGGATATAAAAGAGCACATTATGTGATATTTTTGTGGATGGAGCGGTGGAGCAGATGTTTTTAAATGGATTCATATAATTTTGAATGCAGTAATCAATTTATTTAAAAAAAAAGATATTAATCTATTTAAGTTGGAAAACTATTGGTTTAGGAAATAATTTTTGATTCTTTTTAAGTTTGCGAAAGAGGAAGGAAAAATATGAGCGATATTCTTGTGTTTATGTTGTCCCTGTTTCTCATGCGATAAAATTGACATCTTGTGTATGATCTTGTTTTTATATACGTGATGTTTTCAGTTTGCATGATCGTATTAATCTGACATAACCAATTGCATTCTTCTCACGGGACTTTTTTCCAACTCCATGCAGTACGTGTGATAAGAAAGTAATGAGACTAATAAAAAATAAAATATATTAATATTTGCGAAGAGTATAATTGAATAACAATAACGCCAATAACAATGAAATAATTTAAATGTCAATCATATAAAAATCCACTTGATTCATTTCCACAGTCAAACTTTACATTATATACTGGCCGAAAAAAATAAGAAAACTTTTTTCCTCGAAAATTGTAAAAATTTAAACATCTCTAAAAGAGATAAATTAATAAATTTTTTTCACGATTACATTCATCATGATTTTGAAGATTGATTTCATCGTTATTGATTCAATTATGTTCTTCATTGTACGTAAAATAAAACATATATTTTTTTATTTCTTCCAAAATGTGATTTTCACTTTAATTTTTCCGCTGATTAAAATACCAGTTACGCAAAACAAATGATAAGTTTTACTCGTAATATTCACTGAAAAGTGAAAAAAAACAAGATAAAAAACTAATCTTTCGTTATACTAATTTAACATGTATGAAGATTTAAATATTTTCCTTCTCATTAAACAATTCGATTAACAATAAACATCACCTGAGATTCAGTCTCATTATTTTTATCATACCGTGTACAGAAAATGAACGTGAGATTCAAAAATCGCCAACGCAGCTAACTAGTCGCTAAATCTAAATATATATACACATATTTAATTTGTTTTTTTTTTTTAAAAACTCGTCCTACGAAAAAAAAGAACACCAAAAAAATAAAACTAAACAGACGAAGAAAAATAAAATTCCAATCCCAACTATTTATTTATGTTCATTCTCTAAAAATCGTCTGAACCCACTTACCGTTCCCATGACGAAGCTCCTCCTGCACCTTGTAAAATTCCGCGAGTTCCCTGCCGGAGCACAGAGGTGTCCCGACTTGCGCGGTGCTGTTGAACAAGGAGTAATCCACCTCGTAGCCCTGTCTCTCCTTCGAGTACGTGACCATCGGCTCGAACCTGTGCCCCCAGAGAATCTCCTGGGGCAAGTAACTAGATCTAGCCTGGGTAGTTTGCCCCGTCGATTCTATCGTGCCCTCGAGGATGGCCACGATCTCGAATCTCTCCGTCAGCATGTCCTCGGCGGACATATTGTAAAACGGAGATTCCGCGTTGATTCTGTGAACGATGGTAGTGGGCCAGATAAAGAACAGGTTTCCATTCTGGCCGTCGGTGCCTACGGCCAACTCCTGTTGATTCTGCGACAGTACCTCGCCTTCCTTGGTGGTCCTCGACCTAATTAACTGCGCCCTGATCGCCGCTCCAATTATGTGACTTTTCCTCATGTCACCGACGCGGAACATCAAACAGAGTTCGCCATCTCTCTGACAGATGACGGCGTTTCGTGAAAAGAGCAACGTTTGAGTTCTCTGCTTGGGCCTGCTCATCTTCGCGAACACTATCCCGACCATGAACGCTTGGATCATCACGCCGACGATGCTCTGGATGCACATGACGAAGATCGCCTCGGGGCACTCCTCGGTGGTGCCACGGCTCCCGTAACCGATCGTGTGCTGCGTTTCGATGCTGAACAGGAAGCAGCTCGTGAAGGAGAAGATGTTGTTGATGCAGGGTGTCCAGTTGTTCTCGATCTGATACGGCGGCAGGTGGTCCTTCTCGAAGTCACCGTGGCTGAACGCGATCAGCCACCAGATCACCGCGAAGCCCAGCCAGGAGAGCACGAAGCTCAGGCTGAAGCACAGCAACATCCATCGCCACTGCGTGTCCACCAGGGTCGTGAATATGTCCCGTAGGAAGCGTAACGAACGTCTGGAAATTCGGGACTGGAGCACGTTGCACTCGCCGTTTTTCAATACGGCGCGACGACGTAACTTTCGCGTTGGCCATGCTCTGTACCGGCTCCTGCAAGTTGGAATCACGATCATTCGTTGTTTGCATTTGAAAGCAGAATTTTGAGAATTTTGTTGTACGTTATGTACAGGATGGCCACCTAAATATCTTTTCGAATTGTGACGATGTGAAAACTAGTTTTTTGCCTAACAACGGTATCCGAAAGGCTAATAACTGGTAAGAATATCTTTTTCAAGGACTTTTCGAGATCATTGAAGTTTTTTATTTCATATAATTATATATTTTTTTGTTATATCGTAAAATAATAATTTTTTTTATTATATGGTAAAAGATGCGAAAATTTGAGTTTTACCTCTAATAAAATATATATATATGAAAAAAATAAAAAAATATATATATGAAAAACATCAATGATCTTGAAAATTATATGAAAAAAACATCAATGAAAAGTCCTCGAAAAAAATATTCTTACCAATTATTAGCCTTTTCTTGATACCATTCATTTTAGGCGAAAAATAGTTTTCACATCATCGCAATTCGAAAAGATATTTAGGTGGCTTCACACAATGAACTACCCTGTACAGGGCATCTGATGGTTATGTTAGGCTAGATGATACAATCGGTATTGATGCAAAGAGTGATTCGACATACAAAAAAAAAAAAAACAAGTCGAAAAGAAATAAAAAGAATAAAACTTTTTCATTTAAACCTTTATTTCTGAGAAAATCGAGTCCAAAAATTTGTTCAGTACGCGCACGTTTAATCAAGTCTCAACATCCGTGAATCTTTATTCATATATTTATGAATATACGACTGCCTTTATTAGTAACATTTATTAATATTTATTAACATTATACAGTCTACAATGAAATAGGAAGTTCAAATTTAATTAAGGATACGTTTAGCGAACAGATTTTCGAATTTGACCTCCTCAAAAACAGATTTTAACTTTAACTAGAAAAATGTTTTCTTTCTTAGGAGCTAATGGTAGTTGAGAATTTTAGATAACTCGAATGACGACAATGACGATAAAATAAGAAAAGTGTTTAATCTTTTATTACCTCAAAAATAATTGTGCAATGAGAAACTATTTAAATGAGAAGTATCAGTGTAAGATTCACTGTAATAGAAAAATTCATTAGTCATTGCAATCTCCGGACCTATTAACCATTACACATTTATTTGTGGGATCATTTTGTCGAATATTAAAAGTTAAAAAAAAGAGTACAACATGATTATGTATGCAAAGTCATTTCTAATTCTTAAATTAATAGTAAATTCTTGAACTAATAAAATTCCTGAAGATTAAGCACTTTCTTTTATTTTATGCCCTCATTCGAGTTATTTGAAATTATTAACTATTATTAGGAATGTCTACTATTAATGTTAATTAAAGAAATCCATGGGAATTGAGACATAGTTGAGTGCATATGTATCAAACAAATTTTCTCAAAAAACAAAGTTTTGAATGAAACAATTTTATTCTCTTTTGATTTATTTTTTCACGTTACTAAGCATCTATTATTATTATAGACTTTTGTTCTCTGTATAATTGTAATAGACTTTTCTTAATTTTTAGTGTGTATGTATTTTGTTTATAACCGTTTGAGTGAGACATTTCTGCATTATGCTCTCGTAATTCATAATTCATGATCAATTGTAATTGAAATCAAGTCATTTAATTAAGAACAGACAGAAGCTTCAAAACAACATTGCAAATGAAGAACGCAACAAAGGAAAGAAATATATATTCTGCAAATCAGTAACAGAAATTAAAACATACTGTTTTTAATGGTCGCCAGTTTTAATGGATTATTTCTATAACTGATAATAAATAAATATATTATATTTATTATATTTATATACTATAATTTCGTATCATATATTTTATATACTGCATATCCCATTTTACATAAACATATAAAGAATCTTCTTTTTGTTTTAGTTTACAAAAATTATGAATTCGATTATGGAAAAAAATGCAAAGCTATGACAATCATTTGTCATGATGAAGGTTTATGGCCATTTAATAAGATGATTATAGTACTCCTTATAAGAATGATAATCGTTTTAATTGAAATATTTGTTTTAATTGAATTACACTTATAAATAAATGCCGGATACATTTCTCGGTAGCATTTTTATTAATTTTAAAGCAATCAGTTAATCGAAAATTTTTGCAGCACGCGTTAGTGAACAGAATTACATTATTTTTTTTTTAATGACTATTGACTCTGAGTTTACGTAAAATAGCAATCACATTTGCACATTGATTATTTAACGATGACATTGCCTTACACTGAAGTTACTACTGTCGTATTGTTGGACAGACAGACACGTGAGACGCGCTTCAAAATTGTTATCAACGTTTCGTCGACTTTGTACATACAACGTAACATCGCTCTTCGCGGCGACCTTGCAGGATTTGAATAACAAATTCTAGTTAGGTGTTTATTGCAACGCATCCAATTGCATTCCTTATTTAATATTCGTTATGAAAATTTAATGAACGATTTGCAAATCGTGTTTTTTTTTTTTGCGATGTACATGTTTTGTGAGATGCATAGACTTATTAGAATTCAGAGACACGTTTTTATTATGCTAAGCGGATGATCGTCCGTATGGAGATGGCGGAGGATGGAAAATTTTGTTGTGGAATTTGTTTCAAGTGAACGCTCCAAACCTTTATTTTTTGTCGAACGTACAAAATTTTACTTTCTGGCTGCTTGAACGTTTCTTCTGTACGCATGAATTTTTACTCTCTGTTTATGTGGAAATTTCTTTTAGAGGCATAGGTTTTTGTTTCAACCGCTGTTTCTTGACGATTTTTTTCACACGCGCATGAATTTTTATTTTTTGTCGATGTGAATATTTCCTCCGTATTTTCATTTTTCTATCGTATCGAGAAAAGTACTCACGATGGATTTCTTCGCATTTTACACGATCCCTCTTGAACCTTTCCATGACAAAGTATCAATCAATCGTCTTAACAGTTCACTGATTATTCCTCTCGATGACACACGCACAATCACAAACGGATATTTACAATCATATTTACAATCCCTTACACCAAGCTTCACTTTGAAATTCTCCAAAAGACAAACAACTATTTTTATTTATTTGTTCAATTTCCATTTCGGAAACTGTGTGCAACTTATCCCTCGTAACTACGATCGATTAAATTTCCATTAAAGAAAATAATTCTCACTAATTGTAAAGAACTCGAATAGTTATTTCATCGCTGTTAATAATTAATATTTTTGCTTAAAGCAAAATTTCTTGGCCAGTCATCGATAATTCGAACGAACTGCGATTCGAGGCACAAAGCTGATAGATCCGATTTGGAAACTGACGAGAACCGTGCGTATGGCAAACCGTAAAACGACTAGTAGAATACATCGACGCGACCAGTTCGATGATCTGTCTGAGACCTTCGCGTTCGCCACCCTTTCATATGGCCAAAAGGAAGTCGCCATTTTGACTCCGTACGATAACCGAGCAACTGTTATCTACCAATTTATTTATTACCACGCGTAAATTAATAGCCGACACGCGGTGAACTCCGCGATCTCGTTTGTTCGTCCATTCGTCCATTCGTCCATCTACCTTTAAGATCGACCCACCTATTTCACAATGTTAATAATTTGTTAGTATCAACATTTGTTGCTTGCAAAAAGCATGGAACAAGGAGAGAAAAATAGATAGAACGATAAATAAGAGAGGAGACTAATATTGACGCAGATAGTTCGTAGAACGTGTTTAATCCATTGAAGATTATAACGTTACAAATACTTTAATTTCTTTTAATTTCATCAAATTACGATATATAAGTGAACAAATAGCGAAAGTAAAGATTAAGGAAATCCTTGGAATTCTTTTATTTAACAACAAAGTTAGGGAAACAGAATTTCAAATAAGATATTGATCTTTACTGGATTAAATAAATTAAAATATTGATCTTTATTAGATTAAATAAATTAAAATATTGATCTTTATTAGATTAAATAAAGTAGAGAAATTATTTTTAAATGTCAATAGTGTTGTAGAAATATTTAGCATTCGAGCCATAGAAAGTGTGATGAAACTTAGAAAGGAGAAGAACATGATTTCTGCACAACTAGATCATGTACAAAAGTATAGAAATTTAATTTCTGTAAAATGTCAGAAAAGGATAAAAATTGGAAATTAATTTACCAGATAGTTCTTTAATAAATCAATGACAATGTTATGCATTGATATCACTATGTCCATCATGTTCTTCTTTTCTATCTCTTCAAAGTGATAAGATGGGAACAAATGTAATAAATATTCTAAACGTATTTGTACTATTTATAGAATACATGGATTGTACCTGAATTATAACGAATGATAAGCAACAAGTGTGTTTGAATGTCATAAATGCACTGGCTTTTCTTTAACGATTGTGTAAACAAGGGTCTACTGATAGAGGAACAAAAATATTTAATTGAAAAATCTATTTTTAATAATATAATTAGATGATTTATCATGTGAATAACAAGAAACTTCTATAAATAAGGAATTAAATTGAATGAAGATAAATCAGTGTTACGTAATTAAGTTGATTTCATTTTTTATAAATATAAATGAAGATCAATTAGCAAATATTTGTTACTTTTTTGATTTTTACATCACTTAGTCACTTAGTGATTAAAAAAAAGTATTTTAACATGAGTTTGCTAAATGTGCAAAAATATTTTAAAAATAAGTGATAAATACTAATCACTGTAATACTACTAAATACTACTAATAAAGTGAGAAGTTTCGTATAAAACTACAACAATCAAAGACAATTATAACTATTACTATCAATATTTTCTAAATGTCCAAGAGCAAAAGTACATATTTATGATATAACTAATTTTTAATAAAAATATGACTTAAATATAATACAAGATCTCTAAATACAGATTTTATTACAAAGTCAAACATTGGTAATTAGTCTTCATTAACGAATTGAAATATAAGTCAATACTTATGGTTTGGATGCTCGACAAGTGTTAAATCATTCTGAATGAGATATTACATGACTTTGAGAAATTTGTCGAGATAACAGTTGATCTAGGTTCTATTGCTATCAGGGAACAGACGATAAGAAATAGTTGACAATAAAGATAATTTTTATCCTTCATCTATTTTTCTGGCGAGAACAAATGAAGTGAAATGATCAAAATAGTCTGATTATCTAGATTGGGCTTTGAAAATTAATTTCAAGGTTGTTTGCCAGTTTTCTTCCGAAATATCCAACGACTGATAAATAAGTATTCGTTGAATTAACACATAGCGGAGCTGAGGAAGAAGACAGCGATGCGAGTCTAATTGGTTGTTATAAATAAATTTAATGCAATCTTAGATGTAAGACTGAGCTCAGACAGACAGTAAAATTGTCGTGACAGTGTGATATTTGAATAAGGATTTGAGAAATAAAAAAAATGCATGTAACATGGTAATAATTGTAATATGGTATATATTGATAAGAAGGGAATCTGTTATATAACACAAAGGAGTAATATATATGTGATAATGATAATTTAATTGTTTTATTATAATGTAAAACGATATATAGTAAAAAAAGATAAAACGTCATGTTATTGTCATTAATAAGCTAATTCTAAATCAGGGAAATCAAACCTTTTAGAAGTATCTCGAATTCTATACCAATTTTATTTTTCATACTTTCAAAATCTCTATTTTATATTTTGTTGCTTTTGATCATTTTAATCAAGTTACGATTACTAATGGATTTCACTAAAAAAAAAAAAAAAAGTAAATAACATCCAGTATAGCAGTTCGTAGCAGAAAAAATCATGTAAGCAATGTAATGCAATACGTTCATTGATACAGAAATCAATTACAGAATGACTTTTTTCTTTGAATGCTTTTGAAAGAAAAAGCAAAATTCTTAAATTGAAGATTAGATCTTTATTCACATTTTCTTTATTTGAAATGTAACAAACATTATTTAATGAAAATTAACAAAGAAAAATGCGTGATTAATAAGCGAGCTAATTTCCAAACTGATTAGACTGACGATTTTTACCAATCCTGTATTGATTCTTCATTTGAAAATTATTTTTTACATTTTTATTATTTACATTGGCAGATGACATCATCGAATAATAAAATCAAAATTGAATAAATAATGAGTATGTATTCCGATTATTGTTCACTGTCTCGTGTACTCGTCGTCAGTCCTAATTAATCTAATCACAACAAGAAACAAACGAAATAAATTCTATAATCGCATGCACATTGGCAACGTCGGTATTCGTCAGTCGCATTATTTGAAATTCAAGCCAGCTTGTTTTTTGTTCCATCGGCCGCTCGACATTTATAACGGAAGCGAGCAATTTCATGGTAATTTTCTATTACAATTTGTGAAATAGAAGATCAGCCTGCCTTGTGAATTAAATGGGCCGACATTGTCGAAAACATCTTAGAAATTTATCGATCATTATCGACTGATATTGATATTGGACACTTTCGCATTGTCGTCCGACGATTTTTGTCGCTATAATGATATACTTATTGTTAGTTCATGTATGGGGATTCTCGTGAATAGTCGATCCTCTGGGATAGTTTCGGGAGTTTTGAAAATTTTTCGACAACCTAATTGTTGTTTAAAGACTTTTCAATTGTTTTTTTCTGTGACTTTCAAAAGCCAAATTATGAAATTTATTTATTCACTTGTTATTTAAATTATTAACATCTTGCGCTGGAATGACGTCGAGAATTTTTTGTCTCAAATTGCAAACATTTTCTCAGTTTTAAGTATATTTAAATGTAACCCAGACGAAACAAATAAATTCATTACTTCTTAATCATTTCATACCGACGAGTTCAAAAGAAGAAGAAAGCGACGAATTATTGTATGCGGTTCGGTCACTCGTTATGGTCCGCAATCAGTTGCCAGCGCAAGGTGTTAATCATAGAATTGTAAAATTTGGGCCAGTAGGAAACGTGCACTAGATATGTATGTAATGAACACTCTATTCAAGACTCCCGAAACATTCGAGAATATTGGCCATTCACAGGAATCTCAACAACACTTGGCAACTCGATATAAAATTTCTCTTGGGTTCCCAATAATTTTGAGATCTCGCGTACTTTTAGTGACAGGCCAACGACACGCCATAATCCTGATGTTTGTTTGATAATGAATTCAGTCTAAAGAGAGATCTATTGACAAAAAATGCCAAAAATTGACAAACAAACGAGATAATACAACACAGGGTGTTATTAAATATTGGGAGACAATCACTTTTTACTAATCTTCTTTTTAGTTCCATATATTTAATATCTAACATTCTAGTTTCATGAAACATTAATTATTAATCAATATTCTCAGTAATCATTTAGACGTCTGATTTAAATGCTAATTGAAATCTTGAAATGCTAATTTGTTATCAAGGTAACAAGACGCCTTTGTTTTTTCTTCCTTCCATGTTCTTCCCCTTCTTCTCTTAGGCAACTTATTTATCAATTATTTTTGTGAATTACTTGAAAATTCTAACAATTTTATTTCTTTTTAAAGAGAGCTAATCATTTTTTAAAAAATGAGCATTTGAGGTAGCAAGTGCAACCTTCTGATTCTAAATAATTATCATATTGAATAAGCTCTAAAATCTGAATAATTTTCAAATTGTGTTTACTATGCAGAAATGAAAATTCCCTAAAAGGAATGAAGGTCTGGCAGATCGTTTCAACATAAGAACACCTATCGACCAAAAGAAAAATTTTATAAAGATGTTTCTAAGCTACAATTTGAAAATAATTAATTTACTAATATCATTTTAATTACTAAATTGTCACGTAACAGAGTTCAGAGATTTTTATATCAATTTACAGAAACGAGATATTTTCATTTCTCAAATGGCCTGAGACTTCATAGCTTTTAAACATGGCCGATTGAAGATCATATCTATGAGTCATTCCGAGATTTTAGATTCAGTTGTACACTTCAACTTTTAAGAGTACAATGGTATCTCATTTCCTTTACCATTAATTAAATTACAGTCTTATCATTTTCAAGATTTGAAAAAATATAAGCAACGAATCTTTTGAATCAATAAACGCAGAATATTTTACAAAAATGAAATTGGACTGATTTTACAGCACTGTGATTCATGGCTCTTCGTGTAACAGATTACTGCTTGTGAAATATCTATTCATTAATTGTTTTAGTATTGTGTCGTTTGAATAATCGAGGGTAACCAGTTATAACCAGAAATATAGTCGTTTGTCGAATTAACTTGTCAGCCATAAATGTACCTGCACAGATACGTACAAGTGGACTCCAAATGTCGGTATGTTATTAATTCAGCGGTAATTAATGCATAATCCCACGATTTCTTAATATGGAAGCCAATTACGCTGTTCGATCGCTCATCACGTTAAATATAGTTGAAATACCATTTTTTTACCTGCTCTTAAACGAAGAATTCGTACTCTTGGACACTTTTACTATGACAGGTGCAGGTCCGTTCAACGATGGCAACAGATTTTGTTTTTCGCTTTTGTCCAGGGAGGTTGACGTCACGTTCGATTTTGGATCGTTTGCAACATTTCCATTCATTTTTACTCCTTCTTTTCCCTTTTTCGTTCAACACAAACACTCGCGGGATATTTGATTTCGAAGAATATCTTTTATTCAGAGATAATACCGCACAATGGTCTTCATATCTCGTTTGAAAGCTTTTACTTGAAGGATTCTTAATCACACAGGTAGTCAGCTTTATCACAGTTGCTCGTGAGATACTGTACGACGCACTTTGACGAAGCTGCAATTTCTTCAAAAAGATGTGCAACTTACCAACACGCGGAACAATTTGACTTCTACAGGTTGTACACTGCTGTTTGCAAACGAAAAACAAGATAGCCTACTGGCCACGTGCATTTTCAATTTCAGTTTGTACAGTGTTCAAAGTTTGGGATCAAGGATTGAATGAAACTGTTAACTTTTGCAAACAAGTGTCACCTATGTTTAATTTTTAAATCATTCCTTTTCAAATTAACTTCAAGCTAACTTTGTATGTTAACGTTACAGGGTTAAAATAATTAAATATAGGTGACACTTGTTATAGGTAAATAAGTGTCACCTATGTTTAATTTTTAAATCATTCCTTTTCAAATTAACTTCAAGCTAACTTTGTATGTTAACGTTACAGGGTTAAAATAATTAAACATAGGTCACACTTGTTATAGGTAAAAAAATGTCACCTATGTTTAATTTTTAAATCATTCCTTTTCAAATTAACTTCAAGCCAACTTTGTATGTTAACGTTTTAATTTTGTTACAACAATTATTTTGTAATTGATTATCTTTCTATATTAGATCTTGAGGCATCATATACTACTGAATAGATATTTATTGATAGAATATAAGAATCAAGAATATCCTTTAATTATCATTATTTAAAGCAAATTAGCAAAAAGAGAAAAAAAATCGTGACTTTTATCAATTTTGTCAATTTTGAAAAGAGTATTTTAAATTCTCTCTTTTTCCCTGGTATATACTTGTAAATTATTATATATTTATAAATAGAACTGTTTATGTTTCAACTTCGATGCTATATATCCTGTAACATTTTCCTTGTCACGACTTTTTCAGGGCAGAATGAACGTTTTCTAAAAATCTTTTTACGTTTGATGACAATGATAGTTCGTCGTCATTGCAATAATTTGAACGAGTTGTACAATTCTTAAAGAACAATCTGACGATAATCTGACATATTATTTCCTCAAAAAATTTAAAAATTGTACAAATTATTGCATGTTACGTAACAAGCTTGACTGTCGTTTCAAGCACGAAATTCGTAATCACCTCCCGTTCATTGGTTTCTCACTAGTTTCATTAATCATACTCACAATCAGACTAAAAATGTTTGACTTCTCTCTTTATAAATTATTTTACAACTTGGAACACTGTTGAGAAAACACCGGCGATCACTCCTACTTTCAAAATCTGATTTTTATGAATCAACCAAACTTATCGATCAAATTTGTCTTCGTTTGTTCAATGGCGATCCCATCAAATCCTTATAATCCACTTTTAAACCTCGAAGATTCGTCCAAGATTTCTTCAAGAAATTGAACTCTTTCTCATCCAGTTTGTTCCGTTCCAAGATCTCGTTTCATTTTACTGTGTATTGTCGCCGAGACGAAAAGGTTCGCGGCGCTCGCGGAATAATTGGACTAACAGTTGCATGAATGGGTGTCAAGTTTGATGGCGGAGGATCTACTGATGCGTGAGCAATGATGTAGGACGTCTTATAACAGCCGACACCTGGCCAGCGGTCTTCACTTATCAGCTACTAACAATAACGTTTGCTCTTTTCATTTGCGAGAAAATGGACTGATTACGTCACGCGGAATTCTTTTTTTCTTGATCTTTATCAACGACGATCGAGACGTTTCGCCGGCCGCACTTTCGAGTCTCTTTCCTTTAGAATCGCGACTGATTATCACAAATTCTTAATCAAGCTCTTTACGTCTTTCACACTTCCTCTTGTTAACTTCAGTTTCGAACGAACACCGACTACACTTTGGAGAATTTTTCTCACAACTGTTGTCCTGCTTCTGACTATCATTCGATCTCGATGCTACAGCGCTCGAACCTTCCTGGTGCGCGAGAGCGGCATCGAGTCTACTATTATTTGTTTTTATTGCCGCGACGAAAGCACAAACTCTCGTCGGGAGATCCGGTGAAAAACAACGTTCATGTGACACACTGAATGCCTCCTTCAATTAGCATTATCTGTTTCTCGCTTATAGCGCGGTGCACTCGGTTCACCGATAACGTTTTCCACGAGCGTGTCATCGCAAAGCGACAAATTTCAGCGAGAGCAAACCAAGATTCGCGATGCTCCGCCGACTTTGACTTCGTTTGACTGATTGAAAGTCCGGGGGCATGTCTTATCACCGGGCAGCCATCTCCTTATCGGCGACGTTCTTGACGAACCGTCGTGCGAAATCACCGATCGTGTGTTTTCAACTCGTACGGCGCTTTGCTTGCAAATTTTTTTCACAGTTTTGTCGAACTTTCCAGTATCGGTAGTTAATTTTATCTCCGGGACGGTTGGAGATCGGTGTTTGTTCGAATTCGAGGAAATTGCTCCATACGTGGAGATAGATAGATATGCGATGTTTTAGCATCGAAAGGTTAGAAGTTGTTGGAGATTTCTTTTTACGAGTTCGATATTTCGAATTAATAGGTTTGATAAACTTTTACTGTTGATACGAATGCGTAATTAGCACGTACGTCGCGGACAAAATATTTCAAATATTATTTACAATGTCAGATTGTACAGTTTAAATAAAATAAGTATTTTCAATTTTGACGTAACATATCTTCATTTCAATGATCATATTATGTATAAATTAAATTTATTAAAAAAAACTAGATATTAATAAATACATTTAATTTCTAAATATATATTTATTTTTTTATTTAACAAAATATATATATATATTTATTTAGATCATTTACTTTCGAGATAATTAAAAAATTTTATTTATTTATTTTTTTAAAAATTCATTTTTATTATTTTTAACTGTAAATAATACTATTAATTTTTAATTATTACTAAAATATATTTTTATTATAAAATTTTATTTTATTATACTAATTTTAAGTTATATAAAGCATAAAATATTTTAATCTCGTACGTATTTGAAATATATTCTTTAGTTATGAGAATAAATTGAAGAAACAATTGAAATCAGTGGAATGTTTGCTCCAAGTATTGCAATTTATCAACATTTTAATAAATTTGTATGACAATAGTTGTACGATACGTTTATAAGTATCTGTAACACAATGATATGAATATCCTTATTCCAACATTATATTGATAAGTACATATAGAGTATATATACGTTTCTTCCAGTTTGTTCAGAAACATACGTTTCAAGTCTTACCACATTAATAATATGTTACTGATATATAACGAAACATTAAAAAATATTTAATATATATCTTCGTCAATAATTCTTGAAATAAGTAAGATAAATTAACATAAATATAATATTTCTAGACGAAGTGTAAATATATAAGTAAATATAAATATTTCAGCATTGTTCAAATAAAATAATATTTTTAAATAGATGCATGTAATTCAAAATAAAATAGATTATTTTTTATTTATTTGTAACAATACTTTGGAAGATACGTATTTATGTGGGGATAAAGAATGTATATAGGGTGTCTTTAAGTATAATTCTCAAATATCTTTCTTAATTGTGAAGATGCAAAAAATATTCTATAATATTTTTTAATTAAGTAAGTAAGAAAATGCTTTTTATATTACCAGATATATTATCCAGATGACTTGGTCACGAAATTTGTCAAAAAGATATTTATCACTAACTTTATTTAACATTTCATCAATTTCATGTTGGGTGTTTAAAATGTCGTCTTTTTACAGTAGTTTTTGCAACTCGCGTTCTTCTCAGTTATAAATTTTAAGTTTAGTTATTTAAAGATCATATCATAGTACACGTCTGAATATATTATTTACAAATTATACAAATTATGCAGTGTAAAAGGAAAAAAAATGTATTTATTTATACCATTCAAGTTACGTATAGAATATTTTTTGCATCCTCACAATTAGAAAAGATATTTGAGGGTTGCACTTAAATGAGACATCCTGTACTTATATAAATAAACTTTTAAAATGAATTTTTTTCTATTCCAAAAATTTTTCATATTCTTTAACATCCTGTATAGTTGTAGATAAAGTAATAAACGCAATAGAAAGTTTAGTTCAGAAGATAATGATTTCTATTAGGAGGATGAGAATAAAGATGTTAGATAATAATTAAAGGACGAATGGCAGCAAATAAAAAGAGGATGAAGCATTTAGATATAATACTGGATAATAGGCTTACTCTTGGGATGCAGGTTGAAAGAAATACATACAAATTAAGTTGCAATGATAATGTTTAATTTAAATGGGCAAAAAGAATCTAGAAGGCGTATTTTGGTATCGATGGAGAGATTTGTTTTATCAGGTGCACGATGCCAGTGTATCTCTTTGGAATAGAGAGCTCATGAGAAGAAAGTAGAAAAGGTACAGAAGAAAGCAGTGATTCTGTCTGGATTGGAAAAACTGAGAAAAAACTAATTAAAAGATGAAACAGAAACTTTTATCTGTTGTATAACATACGAAGTTGTAGTGATTAGGTACTTCATTTTCCAAATAAACACAAAATGCAACTTATAACTGACCGAGATAATTTTATGATTTTAAGCTTCAACGCGTCTTACTTACAACAACAGCTTTTCTTACTATGTTGGAGGATGTAGGTAGAAATATAGATACATAAAATAACACAAATTCGTCACAGTTTTTTTCTGCTTGCTCAAAGAAGATAAATTTTCAGGAAAGAGCTGAATAATATTTGAAAAAAGGAGGCGATAAGCCAAATAAATTTGGGAACCTCTGATTTAATAAATTAGTTATAATATTCTTAAGTGACATATCCATCCTACATATTGAATAAATAGAAGCTTAAAATGAATCCATGGATAGTAGAAGCAAACGAAATAATAATGCAAAACATGATAAATGAGAAAGAGATAGAAGATAATGGAAAGTTGAAAAAACTGAGTTTTAGAGAGATTAGATCGCTTAATTTATTATCCTGTTTGAATATATCAATTTGAATAATTTTACAATTATTGTATAATCATCTCCTAGAAATTCTCTCTGTTCAATAGTTTCTGCTATTCACTATTAAATACCGATAACTTTGGAATTGTTAAGTTACCGATTTTGATCAAGTTTAATCGTTCAGTTACTGCTTATCGTCAACAGTGTATAATAGGTCTTACTTCGCTTATTTACAACCACCAAATTTTTCGAAATCAGGAAATTAACACAAATAAATAAGTTATTTTCGAATACTCTTCGTTTCAACATGGCATAGCTCAAAAATGAAAACAATTCATTAGGTCTAAAGATATTGTCTTCTTAAAAATAACTTAAGCTGCAGTAAAATTTGAGTATTCAATATTATACTAAATATATAATATATATTATAAATATATATTAATGATATTAATATTAATATAAATAATATATATAAATATTGTTATATTATATTGTTGAAGCAAGCAATTTTAAAACTCAGTACCTCTTCATAATTTTGAAAATATTACTCATTATAATATTAAATACTAAATATAACAATATAATATATATAAATATATATAAATATATATTATATTGTTATATTTAGTATTTAATATTATAATGAGTAATACTTTCAAAATTATGAAGAGGTACTGAGTTTTAAAATTGCTTGCTACTAAAAATTAAAATTGTGTTTGTCTTCGACGACGTTCAAGCGACCTGAAGCTTTCAGAAAAGGATTTGACAGTTGCAACGAATGAAAGAAATTCGAGCCGGAAGGACTCGATCAACACCGGCAACGTTGAATCGCATTAGCTGTTAGTAATTTATTCGGTGCGCATTATAATGGCGCTATCCCATAGTAGAAGAGGTCGTATCGTTTGTAGGCGTCAATTGAGAACAATATTAATTCTACAAAAGACAGCTGTGTGTTCGCACAATCATACCAACGAGATATTCGATTAAATTCTTTCAAAAATATTAATCTCACAAATATCCAGGATATTTCGCTTTTCTGCCTTTTTTTAACGAAAACGATAGAATTCCATTTAGTATACATAGTGAGTTAACTATGTTTAACTGTTTCAAGCAACACTTTTTAAAAAAATATTAAAAATTTACTTACTTGAAAAGAAATCATATTTAATATAATTAGATTGATATTAAATTAAAAAATTTAACGTATTTTATAGATAATTGTTTGAAAATGATTCTATATGAAATAAATATTACATAATGCATTATAAAATTAAAAATGTTATTAAATTTCATTACCTTATAATAACAGAAAGCAGAACGATATAATTAGGAAAAGGATATACTTAAGAAATATTCGAAATTGAGAATTATGGATGAAAAAATTCTATCCTTTGGTTTTTAACTGATTTCTACATGGAGGATCACCTTCCAATCGGTTGTCTACGAGTCATAGGACACCCTGTATATTCAGGAGACATATTTACAGGAAATTAAACGCAGAATTTCGTTTTGTGAATTTAAATGTACGCTGGGAAATTCTAGTAACGTTTAATCTCATGCAAATCCTGTCTGCGAAGAAATTCTATGAATTAAACAGAGAAATATAGTTATCATAGATTGCTAATTGTTTTTCTCTACCATTCGACACATGCAATATTATAATTAAAAAAAAACAACTAATCTTATAGACATATTTGCATCTAATTTTCTTTCTCTTCTCTTTGACACATTTCTCATCAGATAATCAATTGAGAATTTAGTTTATAAATCAACAGACATATTTAACTTGAAAGAGTATTTTTACGAACATTTTTAAACCACTTTAAAGTTTCATTAGCGCTGTGTATAATAGAGGTCAGAAAAACATTTAAACAATCAATTAAATCTCAATATTTTACACTTTTAATAATTATACATTTGAAACGTCCACTCATACTGGATACTAACTTTTTGTCGAACGTATGCTCGCAATAAACATCTCGTAACTTCTTCAGATTAGAATTATAGTTTCACTTCACTAGTATCACGCTACGATATTTAAAAAATTTTTTTCAAAATTGCTCAAATATTGTAGTCGTTTGATAAAAAGAATAACACGTATTCTACCTCCTTGAACAACACCAACCAGCTGTCTCGTTTCCCACTGTGTTTGCTCGAGCCGAGTCTTGTTCTCCTTCCGGCCGAAACGCTCGATTTCCTCCGGTTCGACATGAGGTAGCTGGCCGATCTCCGACAGACACTTTTCGAGGCGTTTTTCAACGATTAAAAA